TCTTCTACTACTTCTTATCTCTCTCTCTCTCTCTCTCTCTCTCTCTCTCTCTCTCTCTCTCTTGTCCTCAAGATATATCTGATTCCAGATTTATCACAGAGAAGAAGAAGAACTGATGAATCTGGATTAGGTTTATTACATGGATCGGATCTTATTACTCTAAAAGGTTTGTGGATCCGTTACAGATTTAAGAAACAGTAACTATATTCTATACAACAGTAAAAATAGCTAGTATAGTATAATTTCCACAATATCGGTTTATAGAGAAGAAGGAGAAAGTAGTAAATTAGGAATAAGTACGTGTAAAAGATGTTCGACAATAGCTGCTGAAGCAATCGAAGAGAAGAGAAGAAAGACGAGGAAGAAGGCTTCAAGGAACTGATGATGAAGTCGATGCATTCTTGTTGATGCTGCAAGGAACTGAAATCGTTCGTCGTCTTCGTCTCTTCGTTACCAACTTGTTTACTTCTTCTTTTCTTTTTTCCTTTTTTTGAGTAAACAACGCTATTTTTTTAGTAGCTTGTGAGGACTCTCTATGGAAACGAATAAAAAGCAGAGACATTTGCGATACTACAATAATATTATAACGGCAAAGTTTTTCTTTATAAAGCTTACGACAAAATTTATTATATTTATATATATATATATATATATTATTCAGCCAGAAATGGCAAATTCAATATCATATGATCGTCCACACGTTGACAAAAAACAAAACAACAAAGAAGATTGCAGAACTTACCTACTCTCTAAAACGACTGAAAAACGTTTCTTTTTTCTTTCTGGTCTCTTATTTAATTTTGATTTAAGTGATGTTTGGTAAAGTCGAGATCTCTATTACGATTTCTTCCCTAATTGGTGGCGGCGTTGGCACAAACATTACTATTAATTAATCTATTATGTCACATGTGAAAAATACAGCATCAATACTACTTATACTTCACATTAATTATCTTTAGTATGGATTTTTTTCCTTATTATAAAAATAATATCACCAGAATTTGTAGATCATAACTGAAATTAGCCAATATTATGACGAAGAATACAATAAAAATAAGAAACTATATATTATAGCAGAAAATGGGAGTATTCAAGTTTCCTGAAGCAAGAGACGTACTGATCCATCAACAATTAAGCAATATATAGTTGTTGTTTCGTTTGTATGTTTTTGCCTCAGTGTCTTGCTTCAGTGATGTTTTGATAAGGTTTGATAATAATTAAGGAAGCATAAAACGAACAATAAGATACCTTTAGTAAGACAAATCGACTTTTTTTTTTTTTTTGATAAACCCTATCGGCTGATCCGGGCAGTCTCGGTAGAAACGCAGCGAAGTGCTTCAGAGTGAACTTCTCTGTAAAGGGCCACCACACTGTTTATCCCGAGTTTGGAATGCTTTGCGACTAATGCCAGGGATAATCAGGCCACATGTATTTCTCATTATCAGGTAAACCAATTGGGCCAAGGCCCAACTGACAGACTTCTCACACAACAATAATTTTTGTTTTCAGGGTGGATCGAACCTGGGTTAATTCCTTCCAACCTTTCCCCAATTCTCCCTTACCACTGGACCACTGCTGTGCGGGCACAAATCGACTTTAGTTGTCATCGTCGGATCCCGAGTGCATTGCGGAAGACTCGACGGTGGAGATGGCAAGCTCGTTTCTGGTGTTGGCCCATTTTGAACAATGAAAGCCATTATAATCCCGTATGGTAAATGTGCATCCATGTGACAATGAAACAGCCATACCCACCTGCAAAAATACAAATGTCAGTATTTCATCTTCTTTCACTTATCCCCTACTACACGCTACAACTTGTTTATAAACCAATCTAAAAGACAACTCTTTTTTTTTTCTTCGAAATATCGACGCATATTTTTATTTATTACGTTCTCTAGTAAGTGTTATCTTGTTCAAAAGTTTTTATTTATTTATTTTAAAGAATCTGTTTGATGCAAGTTTTAATTTGATTTAATAGCTATTGGGCTAAATATGACACAGTATTGAACGTTATTGGGCTAATTATGACAGTATGATTCTATTTCGGGCTAATTCTTATCAATTTAGCCCATTTATGCTCAAACTCTAAAGTGTAATTTTAGACATATTTCGATAAAATAATAAGATAATAATTTTTTTGAAAATCCTTTGTAAATATATGGTCCTAATAATATTATAAATTAATAATTAGGTAAAATTTTCAAAATATATGTATATATAGACACATTAGTTTTTGTTAGAGTTTATTTCTAATATTTTACTATATCAAAAATTGTTAGCATTCTCTTTCAAGACATAATAATTATTATTTTCTTTGTAATTGATTATATAAAATACTAATTATCATGATTAAATCTCATTTTTAAATATTTTTCTGAAAAAACTTTCAAATTAGGAAAATCTCTCTATAAATTAATAATTATGAATTTATCGATAAATTAATATCTTTATAAATTAATAGATTTTCATGGTTCCAACATTATTAATTATAGAGGTTTTACTGTATTTTGATTTTTGAATCAGGAAGAATGATGATAACTAGGATTTATTTCATATAAATACTGTTAAATTAACAATTAAAACTACATATGATGCCAAATAAAGAAAAGAAAAACTATAGGATTCGGTATAATATTATAGCTTATTAGCTTAGGCAAGCATGAATGCATGATCCATGACCAAACTAGGCACCGTATATCTGTATTTTTCTTCTTAAAAAAAATCGTTATCCCATTATAAAACAATGCTAAGAAGTACTTAATTTTTGATACATATGAATTTTGTTTCAGAAAAAGAAAAAGAGGAAATTTAGGAGGCGGGAGACAGTCTTGAGCATTATTTGGCCGGCGGTAATGGGATGCATTTGCTTCAAGTATTGGCGCCGACCATCATCTTCACCGTCGATTTCGTCAACGGCCATAGATGATCTCGAAAACGTCAGAGACGATGACGACGACGACGGAGGACACTATCCGTTGATATTCCGTGAGTTCACCTTCGAGCAGCTTAGAATCGCCACCGACGGTTTCTCCTCCGGGAACATCGTCTCAGAGCACAACGATTCCGTACCAAACGTCGTCTACAAGGGAAAACTCGGCGACGGTCGTCGGATCGCCGTCAAACGGTTTCATAGACTTTCTTGGCCTGATCCTTTCGAATTCATCGTTCGTCCTTTTCAAATCTTTTATTGATTTTGGTTTTTTAATCTTTCTTGAGGAGCTTTTGATATCAATGGTGGACTTTTGTGTTCAGAATGAAGCACAAGCTGTTGGGAGATTGAGGAGTGAACATATGGCGAATCTGATCGGTTGCTGTTATGATGATAACGAGAGACTGCTTGTTGCTGAGTACATGCCTAATGGAACATTAGCAAAGCATCTTTTTCACTGTAAATTAATAACAAATCTTTTATTGAATCAGTGATGATGTTTTTGTTGATTTTTAAACAAGAGTGTAATGTGTGTGTTTCAGGGGAGAAAAGACCGATGAAATGGGAGATGAGGTTAAAAGTTGCACTGAATACTGCAAGAGCCTTGGAGTATTGTAATGACAAAGGAATGGATTTATACCATGATCTTAATCCTTACAAGATTATGTTTGATAAGGTAATGCTATGCTTAAACTCTTTGTGTGTCTTTTCTTTATCTGCAGAAACATCCAAATCTTTAATCTCAGAAATGGTTGTTGAATGACAGATAGGGAATTCTAAGCTTTCTTGCTTTGGTCTCATGAAGAATTGCCATGAAGGGAAAACTTATAGCACCAACTTGGCATTTGCTCCTCCTGAATATTTGCGCTTAGGTACCATATCAACCTTTTCATGTGTATGTTTCTATAAGAATACAGCTGATAGAAGTTTGTTTCAGGTACTGTGATACCGGAGAGCGTCACATTTAGCTTTGGAACCTTGTTATTGGATCTTATGAGCGGCAGACATATTCCTCCAAACCATGTAATAAAAGTGGAATACTTTGTTGCATTTTGGTTAGCTGTTATATATGCTAAATGTGATTTGTTTCTGCAGGCACTTGATTTGTTCCGAGGCAAAAACTATTTGGTGTTAATGGATTCAGCCTTAGATGGTCAGTACTCTGATGAGGACAGGACAGAACTAATACACATAGCTTCTCGATGTTTGAAGACTGAACCTGAAGAGAGGCCAAGTATAAAGTTTCTTAAGGCGACTCTTTCTAGACTTCAGAAACGAGCCAAGTTATGGCCTATTAATGTCAAAAGACCCATCTCTGTAAGTGTCACTCCTCTCCATATACTCAAGAATAGTCTCTCTTTTTTAAGAATGCAAATTTTAGTTAATGGTACTCATAAATCATATTAATTGACAGCCTCCATCCAACAAACTGCCTGAAAAGACTAAACCTACAACAGAGTCATCGAAGGCGACTCCTTTTGGAGATGCGTGTACGAGAGCTGATCTAAGTAGTATACATGAACTACTAGAAAAACTCGGGTATGAAGAAGATTATGGGGTCGGAAACGAGGTATGTTCATGATTTTGTATACTTAGTATCTGAATTTGAGAACATGATGTTGCTGATTCTGAAAATTTTTGACAGTTCTCATTCCAAATGTGGACGGGAGAAATGCAAGAGAATATGGACTATAAGAAGCATGGAGATGTCGCGTTTCATGCCAAAGATTTTGATACCGCCATTGAATTCTACACAGAGGTAAAGAATTGCATTGACATATAAAACACTAAATCATCAGCAAGTATAAATAAAAGGACTTAACTGGTTCATTCTTCATTATGTTGTAGTTCATGAGTGGAGCTCCTACGGTGTCCCCAACAGTATTGGCAAGAAGGTGTCTTTGTTACCTAATGACTGAAATGTTTAGCGAGGCTCTAAGCGATGCGATGCAAGCGCAAGTAGCTTCACCGGAATGGCCAATACCTCTTTACTTACAAGCAGCTTGTCTCTTCAAGCTTGAGATGGAAGCTGAAGCTAAAGAAGCACTTAGACATGGTTCTGCTCTTGAGGCTTATTAGATTTTTGTGAAAAGTACTCATTTTGAGAAAATTGTGAATACACACAAAAACATGTACATGCCAATGTGAATAAGTGTGTACCCATTCAGATTTTTTAATTCAATTATGAATGTTTCTTTTTATTAATGTATCACTTGTTTGATATGATTGCACTCGTGCAAAAAGCTAAAACAGGAATCAAATGCCACACAAAGCAAAAGAAATGAGATTTGAGAAAAGAAAAGAAGCAAAAAAAAAAACAGAGGATTTTTACAAAATCTTCTATGTCATTGTTGTGAAGGCAAGTTAAAGTGAAAGAACCATGAGATTACAAATGCACAGACCATACATGTTAAAAGGAAATTAAGGAATCTATTTCCTCTCCAGAATCTCCGGTCATCGGAATCACTTGTGGCCACCACCGTGGATGTATTTCCGGCCTCCACGTCATCCACATTGGTTTCAACCGTTGTTTGATCAATCTCATTGGCAACTTTAGAGAAGTTTTGAGCTATACAGCGACAAATCTCACAAGTCCTAAACAATTTTACACGTATTAATAATATATAACCCAACAATATATATTCTGAAAAATAAACGTTTGGTTGGACTTAAAAGTTATGCTTACTTATTACCCTTGATCTTGAACCAAGTATCGGCACATTGCTTATGAACATAACCCAAATCATCTTTACAAGAACATCCAAGAACCATCGGGTCTCCACATTCGTGGCGACTACTCTCTAAACCCAAATGGCAAATCCTGCAGTCTTTTTCAGGAGACCCGCCAACTGATCGAGAGGCTTCTGATTCGGAATGATCTGTTTCATCATCACCACCGAAGTCATCATCATCAGCAATCTCAAACTCGCCGCAAAAGCTACGAACAGCCGAGTGGAAATCGTAGTCGTAATCACAAGAAGAACTGTCTTCACCGCTGACGTCGCTTCGACGGTAATAGCGGTCGCCGGAACCATTTTCCAAATCAATGTGAGAGTTTTGGAAAGATGACATTTTTCATTGGAGAGAGAGAGAGAGAGAGAGAGAGAGAGTAAAAAAGACGAGGCTTTGCTAATATGATTTACAAAGACTTCTGTTACAAGTAAACGTGAACTCTTGGATCAAGAGATTTAAAAAGCAAAATAAAATCAAGGAAAAAGAAAAGCATTAAGGGTCAGGTCAGGGACTTATGTTTTTGTTCTGTCTGGGGACCAAAGAGATGAAACATTATAATTTACATATACATATATACATAAATATTTTAAAAGAAGAAAAGAAAAGAAAAAAAAAAAGAAAAGAAGAAAACATAAAACAGGCTTTAAGCTGGTAAAATACTCGATTGTTCACTAATCCGCACGCTAAGTATCATCGTGTTCTTTGTGATATTTTATTTTTTATTAAACAGCAATGTGTTTCGTATTATACAGCTACTGATATTATATCTGTTTCTGACCGTTGATTCGGGTCTTCGAAGTAATTAAAGTCAGTAAGATGGACGGTGGAGATAACGTAACGCCCGTGGGAGGCACGTGACGGGACTAAGGTGTCGTAGTGCGGCGAAGCTTAGGGACCACCGCCTCCTCATGTCTATGCTTCTCTTTCACGCCACCACCACCATTCACTTCTTTCATGCTTCTTCTTTTGTGTTTCTTTTTTTTTTCTCCTTAAATTAAAAATTATTTTAATAAAATATAGAACAGAACCGCCGTGGTCGTTAGCGTTACCGGACTTTTTTAGTTGAGTCGCGTGAGGATCACAAGCCCTCCTATTAGCTTTTAAAGCCCATTAATGACAAAAAAATTTCCTTTTTTTTTTTTCTGTTTATATAATAAGGTCCAACTATATACTGTATATGGTCATTGTTTTGTCATTTGTGACATTTGCATTTTGAAATGAAGCCAATGGCCACACATATCCATATTACCAGAAAATTGTAGACAGACGTTTTGATTAATAATATATTATTTGTAATATTCTGATTTACATTTTGAAAATGTGTTTTGGATAGTATATATATATTATGAATACAGAGTTAAGAGATCGAGTCTACAAAATAAATATCATATGCTATAGCCGAAATAACCACCATACCTCTGTTATTACCGGAAATGGACAGCAGTAGGACTACTACACGAGCTGACAAAATGCTGATAAAAAGGCAAAAATAATTAACATAGCAGCAGAGTAGAGAAAACGACAATGTTAGTAGTAGTACAAAGGAGTTGCCGAAACAGAGGAATTAAAAATAGAAAACGTGGGAATTGTTTATAGATACAAAACAGTTTGATAGTAGTAATTAATGAGTTTAACCACCATCTTGAGGTTGTGGAGGAGGTGAAGAAGAAGGAGGCTTTGGAATGTAAGGATTGAGAGGACTTCCATGCTCGATAGGACCTGGTTTGATCGATGCTTTTGTTGTTGGAGATGGATCCACCGGGAAGTTGTAGTCCTCCAACCCCAGTTTCATTTCTGCGTGTTTTTTGATTAATCATCGTTAACTATTATTTATTCCACCAAAGAAACACGAAAGAGAGTAACAAAGAGGAGTATTTGATGATGAAATTACCAGAAGAAGCGACTGAGAAGCTTAGGATTATTACAACCAAAAGGAAAACATAGCTTCTTGATCTCTTCATCTTCTTCTTCTTCGGAACAAATGTAATGGGAAAGAAAGAAAGGTTTCTTTAAAGAGAGAGAGAGAGAGAGAGAGAGAGAGAGAGAGAGACAGAGCAACCTTGCTTTCAAGAATGAAGTGGGACGATAGATATAGATATTATTAGGGAAATAAGGCCCATGTGGGGAGGGGAGTCTTGAATGTGATGTTGTGGGTTAAATTCGAGATCATAATAGAGTTATTGCTACTATCTCTCTATCTCTGCATCCCTCTCTTGTACAAGAGAGGAAGCATCTCAAACAGCTCAAAAGCTCATTCATTGGTTACAATTTAATGCTCTCTCCACTACTGCTGTTCTTGTACGCCACGTGTCCCCAACTCTCTACCTCCATTATCATGTCTTCTCATCGATGTTGTTTTGATCACCATTGATAGAAACGAGGATACTGAGAGACAAAAAGAAAAGATAAAAATTGTGGATGGAGGAGACAAGAATGGTGAAGATGATACAGAGCTTTGAAGCGGCGCCTATTTTTTTTTAATTACTACGACAAGATACTGTAGTGTGTGTGGTAAATGTTGTTGACTAATTTCTTTCTTTTTGACTTTTAATGTTTTTTACCTTTCACTCTCTGTTTTTCAATATTTTTACCTTTTCACTCTCTGTTTTTCGTTTTTTACCTTGTGTTTTCTTTTTAATTACATAGTAGTAGGCTCATCATAGCAAGACAATTAAGAGTATATACATTGTCTAATTGATTTTATTTAGTTAATTAAACAAAAGTTAGTTCGCTTTTCTTATTAAAAAAAAAAAAGTTATTCCATTAAGCTGGGTTGGATGCTGTTGAAATGTGAATGACAACGGAAACAGCATTAATTAATGTCATTAATACTTCACAATTTAATGTGCTTTTTGTCTTTTACTGTATATTTTTACTAGTAGTATTATTTTTTTTGGGATGCTGTTCACTCACCTCGTAAAATATATACTACTATAGTTTCCTTTTCTTCTCTACTATCAAAATTTAAAATATGTTATTAAGGTTTTCTAAATTTCTTGTTTTTGTTTTTCTTTTTAATAAAATTTTTGAAAACAATTTGGTCATATGTTTCTGTAGTTCTATAAATTATTGATCGATCTAAAATTCTAAATTACGAAAAAGGAAGAAGAAGAAAAAAACAACTTTTAAATTAACACATGAAATAAAGGTATATATGTCATATAGCAACGGGGCTATAAGCTGGGGCATCCGTAGGGGACTCCGATAGTTCTCCAGGAAACGATCCAAGAGAGGCTCCAGAGCTAAGGATTTCGAACATTGAACGATGAGGGTTGTTCCGCCTCGCCGCACACAAATCAGGCAAAAATGAACCTATCAAGTGAGCCAATCCATAATGTTATTATATTTACCATCTAATATGTAAACTAAAAATAATATAACATTGTTATAAAGAAATAAATTATACCTTCTGCAGCGACAAGATTAGAATAGAGATCAGCAATGTTAGGGCAGTCTTCGAGACATTCAGGAGTGCAAAGCTTGACGGCAAAGCCTGGCTCGAGAAGAGCATCTGATGAAATTCCAACAGATCTCCTATCCACACCGCACGCGTTGACACATTCATCTGTCTCGATGTAATTAGCCAATGTAACATCAACGTCGACCTCAGAACTCCGGCACCGATAATTAATCCCACCGGTCTGCCTTACCTCCGTCTCTAGCACACATCGTTTTCCCAAGGCCGAGATTGAGAACGAGCACATGTCGTCCGGTATATCCTCGCATATTACATTGGCTAAACAAACAACAAAATCATATTATTTATTGTTCGTTTAGTAACCACGTTAAGAAAATGAATAAGAATAAAACTTACCGTGAGAAGAAGTGAAGGAGCAAAAAGTGATAAACATAAGTAAACAAGCTTTTGAAACAGAAACCATAATTGTTTTTTTTTTTGGGTTAATAAGAAAGTTAACAGACAAAGTCGGGACTCGGAGTTATGTGAAGAAGAGTTGTTACAAAATGTTGGCTATTAATAGGCTAAAAGAAGACGAAAACGTTGCGACTTTGATGATTTCTATATTTAAGATTCTTTTAGAATTCGTTTAACAAATAAATTTTCTCGTCCATATGCATCAATCATAGTTGACGACGACCATCGGCGTGTACGTAAACGTTTTCGGTTGACTTGACTTTCGGTAAATATATGTTTTTTACCTATATTCGTTTTTTGTTATTTGTTTGATTTTTCTAGTCGCAATTTTGCATCTTTGCATGAGGTATTTTGTTTGTTTTTCTTTTCTTTTTTATTACGTTATTAATTTTGGGTTTTGCTCTTTTTAATTTATTTTGTTGTTGTGACTCGATTTTGCTTTCATTTTTTTGTCCGTTGAGTTTTAATGTGTTGTGCTATTAGTTATTTTTGGATTTGCAATTTTCTTATGTTTGTGTTTGTATCAATTTTGCTATTTTTTAGTATCTCAGTTTCATATTTTTCGTGCTTCGACTAACGTGGTTTTATTTTTTATTTCGTGCTTTTGCTATTCGTTTGTTTTTTTTTCTTGTTATGTTTTTGTGTATCAATTTTTAGTATCTCAGTTCTCCATCTTTTGGTGCTTCGTGCGTTCGTTATTTTTTTAGGCATTTTAGTAACTTCGACTAAAGCAAATTTGTTGTGTGTCATAGAATATGATAAGAAATTTACAAATAATATGAGATTTTTTTTTTTCAATTTTTATCAACAACAAGCGGTCTAGGAATATAATCTAAAATCTCATGTAATTTTAGGCGGTCTAGGATTATCGAAATTTTTGCGTTTGTTGTGCCCTGTTTCCGATTGATTTTTAGTAACTCTATTTTGTTCGTTTTGTGTATCAATTTCAATTGTTGTTCGAACGGGAACAAAGTGCTTCGACTAAAGTGCTTCGACTAACGTGCTTCGACTAACGTGAAGTTTATTTGTTTAATTGTGTTTTGTGTTTGTTTTACAATGTTTATTTAGTGCTGTGTGTTTTGTGTATGTTTTACAATGTTTATTTCGTGCTGTGTGTTTTGTTTTAGAATGTAATGTGTTACTTGTTTTGTGTTATGATAGCTATTTGGCGATTTTCTTTTTGGCGTTGTTGGGATAGCTATTTTCAGCATTTGACGTTACGTTAGCATTTGACGTGACGGCCCCTATTCATACATCTTACTATCAACACACACACACACATTGTTTACGTTTCGTTGGCTCTATACGTTTCAGCATATTTTCAGCATTTGACGTTACGTTGGCTCTATACGTTTCGGCCCCTATTCATACATCTAAGTATCAACACACACACACACACATTATATACCTTTACATTAGCTCCCTATTCATACATCTAAGTATTTAAGCCAACACACTCACACACACACGACACAATAGCCCTATACATACATCTATTACATACATCATTCATTTTCACCAATACCCTATCACACATCTAAGTATTTAAGACAACACACACGCACATAACTAGCACTATACATACATCTATTACATACATCATTCATTTTCACTAATACCCTATCATACATCTAATTGTAACCCTATACATCTGTATACATACGTCATTCATTCTCATATATATCCTAACATACATCTATGTACAGAGAGATAATTTAGTCTCCTGCACCAATGAAAACGGATAATGAGAACCGCAGCGTAGATCTATGAACACACGCAAACGAATCAAGCTATGTCGTTCCACTGCCATCTGCAAAATGGATCGAAAATATTAATTTCTGTTACACTGTTACGAGATATTTCATCCTTTTATCGACAAATAAACCAAAAAAAAAAAAAAGCATTTTAGACATCATCTAATAACAAACCAACAATTTCTTTTTTATTATATTTCTTTAAATTCAAAAAACTTAACAATCGTTCAACTATCATAACATATGATTTTTTTTCTTAGACAGAAACAGAGAGTAATATCAAAACCAATATATGTACTTTTCTACTATTTTTAATCACATGCATACAAACATTCAAGCCCTCATCATATGAACATTTTACTATCTAAGCACCCTAATCACTTGATGAAATCTTTCTAGAACTATATTGACTAAGAAGAACACTATATATAGTAGTATAACAGAGAAAATATAAAATGAACGGACTAGAATCTAACCTCTTACGGTGATGATGTTTGCCTCTTAAGGATGTGAGAACAATGAAGAGTTTTTGACTTGAAAACGTAAAGTGGAAGAACATATTAGGATAGGAAATGAAAGAAAAAAAAAAACAGAGTTTAGTCAATTTAAGAAAAAAAACAGAGTTTTGAACTTTGAACGAGAGAAGATGAGAGAAGCTTAAGTAGTATTTATAGAGGTCATCTTACGCACCACTTTTTTTAAAAAAACTAAAAAGAGAAAATAAAATGATTATATTCATAACGGTAACAATTGTAACGTTAGTATTTTTCATTTGGCAACGTTCGACTGTCAAATCTCAAGTGACAGAGATTATTAAGAAAACTTTTTTAAAAAATATTAAAATGGTAAGAAATGCATAAATCTTACGCGCCCTACCTCCATAATTACCATCTCTAGGGTTTCGTAGCTAGGCTTTACCGTTACCGCGTGAAGAGACAAACTTAATTGTTTTTCTTTTTTCACTCAATGGCCCGAATTTGCCTGCATAATGAGCCCAATAAAGGCCCGTAACTACAGATAATTTAAGCCCGTAGTGACAATTCTGAACAAATCGACGATTCATAAACCACACTTAAGTACAAAAAAACAAATCCTCTAAAAAACATAGTATTACGATATTTCATTTTATTTTTTATTACAAAAATTTGAACGAAAATACTAGAAATTTTTAATCCTTAGAATAAAAAATTGTTGAATAAACAAAGCGTTATGGATAGTGTATAAATAATTATTGATTTGTGGTGGGTAATGGATTTGATTATTAATATATATGTGGAGGAAGACAATAAATGTGGTAACAAGCAAGAAAGAGTCGGGCAGAGGCATTAAATGGTCCATGGTTTTATACAAAAGTAAACATTTAATTGAACGCACAAAGTGTCAGCGAGTACTTTTGTCACAGTCTTTTACATTTAATGCACCACTTCTGGACTTTGAGTCTCTCTCTCTCTCGTTTTATTTTATTTAATCCTTTTATAACTACAAAATTATTCTTCTATTGGAACTATTCATTTTCCCAATTGCCCCGAACAACGCATTTAATTATATTCTTTTCAATATACATGCATATAAGTAAAAGCACACATAGAAAAAAATTAAAAGCAGATACTAATTGATTCAATACTTAAAAAAAAGTTGTCATTAACATAGTCGTTTTCGTATATTTTCTGGTTATGTCTACATATAACATAACATGTGTGTTCCTGGAAACAAAATTCGACTGATTACTAGTTGTAATATTAATCAATTAATATGTGATGCATTGTTAATTCATTTCACTTTTTGTGATGATACATACTAATAGTGATCCTGAAACATTGATTTCTCGTTCATCCACTCTCACATATTATTGTGCTTCTTTAATTACTAGGCTGCATGCATGTGACAATATAAAACCATAGTATTCAATATAGTTGGAAAAATCTAGAATTGTTTCCCTGAGCAGAGAATGAAAGAAAAAAACGAAGGAACTGATCACTGGAGACTAATAATATCTAATGAGATAGACAAGATGCTGCCAAAGGAGAAGAAGGTTCTTCTTAGAGTTGAAGTCACTCTCTTCCTCCGACCTTTGCAAGAGCTCTGTTTTTACTGGTTTAAGATGACGACTTCTTCTTAGCATTTAACAAAAAAACATATAGATAAATAACGACTTCTTTTTACAATATGGTTTTAATCATTATACCATTCGCTTTAAATGAAATATATAATTAATATCGAAACTAGCTCTGCCTAATGCGAGCATTTTTTGAACTCAACGGACAAGCCACGAGCATGTTGTTATGGGCATTTCATTTTTATATTTTTCTTAAACATAATCAATGCTTTTCCACTAATTAATCTTAACATTAATCAATGGTTGTCCACTAATCAACCCATTAATAAATACTAAGAGAGAGATACGAGATCCTTTTCTAGATATCCATCTTCTTCTTTTCTCCAACAATTTCACCTTTCTTATCTTAAACCCCACATTTTTCCTATTTCCTTTTCTTGTTTATGGATAAAATCAATATGATTTCTCTCGCACTATATATATCGAAAAAAATAATAAAAGTTATTGCCTAATATTATTGTAACTTCATAATTTTCGTATTTATTACACTACTTTCTGAATGATTTACTATACAATTTTTATTTAATGTTCTTTTACCTATTGAATAGATTTTAGATTAGCATGGCAAGAATATTTTTAATAAAAATAGAAAGAGTGGGGCTAAATGTCACAATCTAGAACATGGGGGCTACGAAAGAGAGAAGATAGAAGAAGTGGGTATAAGAACAGAGATTGCATTAAATGTTTTTTTTTTTTTTATTTTTTAATTATAATTTTAGTTTCCCTTACTCAGCAACCACTGAGATAGAAAGAAGAAGAGTAGTGTGTTTGAGAGCGAATCAAGGTTCCTCCTCCAAAGAAGATGACTTTAATTCTTATTTAATTCCCTCTTCTCCTTCTTTCTTCACCAAATTCCACACACACTTCAATTAAATAAGTTTAACCCTAAATTCTTGAAACCTGCAACTCATTCAAGAAACCTAAATATTCCATCTAGAAGAAGAAAGAGAGCTCCTTTACTACTCTGCTTCTTGAAGCTCAATCCCAATTTCAGGCTATGGCGGTGTTCAAAACCCTAGCTTTTCTATTCGTTTTATGCTTCGAGATTCACCATCCAATGGCTGCTGAAGATGCTAATTCCTCGTTTTTGTTTGATGGGTTTGTGAAATCTCCGAGCTTTGACGAGAATGTTGCTCTGTTTGGAGATTCTAAGCTTCTTAATGGCGGTCCATCGATTCAATTGACTGACTCAGCGAGTCGGAGTGAAGGGCGAGTCGTTTACAGGACACCCATCAGACTGTTCCAAGGTAAAGAGAGAAACTTTTCCGGATCGTTCTCGACTAGCTTCTCGTTTTCGATGTCTAGTGAGATTGGTAGTGTCCTGGCTTTTGTAATGGTTCCAAGTGGTTTGGATCTTAGTTCGTTTGGTAGAAAGGGCAATAATAGTTCCTCTGGTCTAAGCTTCTTGTTGCAACACAAGGTTGTTGCTGTTGCGTTTGGTATCTCCAGGAAAGGGAATCGTGTAGGGATCTTAGTTGGTAAACCTGAATCTGGTAAAATTAGAAAGTTATCATCTTTTGGTGACCATTTCAATGGAGAGAAGAAATTTAATTGTTGGATTGATTATGAGGCGAGTTCAAAGAGAATAGAGGTTCGTTTGAGTCTATCTACTGCCTTGAAGCCGGTTGATCCATTCGTCTCTTACTTAGTAGACTTGGCTAAGCTATGGAAAGATGGGAAGTTCATGGTTGGTTTAACCTCTGCAAATGGGAACTCTTCCAAGCCACTTTATCTCCATTCATGGACTTTTAAACTGAGACATCCTTCGATGAGGATTCACTCACAGCCGCTTGATCCAAATGAAGTGTCCAAGACTGTTAAGGAGGGTGAGACAACGGTGGAAGAAGTTAAGGGGAAACGCAGATGTATATGGAGAATGCTTGGTGCATTGGTTTTGGGTGCGGTTTGCGGAACTTTAGGAGCTATGTTAGCGTTATACCTTTGGACGATATGCGGTAATAGGCAGTCGATGGCAATAGTTCCTGAGGAATGTGCTAATGAAAAATCGGATAACAGTGTGATCAAAACAGATGTTGTTCAAGAAGAAGGGAAGAAGTAGTAGAGAGATAAAGAGTTTGGTGGTCTTTTTTTAGAATGTTGTTTTTGTCGTTGTTGTTTGTAATGTAAATTCTTGTGTCCTTCTTCTTCTTCTTCTGTTTGTTTTTTTGTTAGTTGCAGATTTGGTGAGATAAGTTTTCACATGTAGAATCTTACAATATGTATTAATTAAAATCTTGATTAATGCTATTGTCTTCTTCTTCTTCTTCTTTTCCTTTCTTTTTTGTTATTTATCATTTGAGGACATAAAAGGAGACGTGAAGGTATTGAAGTAGAGAGAGTTTGCTCCAAAAAGGAAAGCAAAGGGATTCTCGTGAATTCTACAAAATGCATTTATAATCAGTTGCCACTTTCAGACATCTTTCTCTGTGTCTTATCTCTGTCTTGACCGATAAGAAAGTGAGAGGAGAGTAACAGTGGAATGTGTAGTGTCTCCAGTGGTCCCCCTTCCTCAATCTAGAGACTTTGATGATTTAAGCAGAGTTCGAATTTAACTTTCAAAGTCATTGCTTCTAACTCACTGTGGTTAAAATTGAATGTACCCATCTCTGTATAAGCAATGATTCGTATCTGGTAGCTGAGCTCACAAATCTTGCTTATATTTCTCTAATTTCCTACTACAGTTAGAATACTTGAAATAAAAAACCCTAACCTACCAATGAACAGAAAAGAAAAACCAAAACTTATGTGATCCCCGTTGTGTATGTGCGTATAAATTAAATGAATAAACCCTTTTATCTCAGAGATTGTGCTCGTAGACTTGGTCTTTCAAACCGGTTAAGCCTTGTGTGCTCCTCAGACGTATCGCACAAGCAACCAGGAAGAGGGTTAGCATAAAAATTCTCCTCCAACTTTGGGCTCACGCCTGCCTTTCCTGGCCGCCTAAGATACGGTGCTCCTACTCTATTTTCGTGTAGTTTCTTAACCTTGGACGAGAAAGCTTCCCAAGATATTAGTCCCGCATCGAGCCTATCAATCAATCTCACGAACCTTAGCCTGAAAAATCCACCGTAAAATGTCAGTATTAATAAGTGACGGAACAAAGTGTTTCTATTCACGAAGGAAAGATATTGTACCTATCGGGATTGATCGTTTTTCTAAACCCTTCGAATCTCCGGTGACCCTGAACCGCTTTCGCCATGTTTCCATCATAAGTATAAGCAAAAACATCGCTTTCGAGTGCTAAATTGTAATCAAGAGCAGCCAATCTGTTCTGGTATGGTTTAATAGCCGAAAGCTCTTCCTCGGTGGCCAGTGTAGAGTGAAAGAAAACATTTGGGAACTCTTCTTGGAACGCAGTCATACTGTCCTGGCCGTAGATCGTTCCTGCAACAATGTAGATCTTCGTGGTCGAAGGAAACCCCATTGCCTTGAGGAACACAGCAGCTTCACGCGGCGTCATAGGGCAATTACCTTCAAGTCGCCGTTCTGTACCATTTATTACTTTTTCTTTCCAATGCGGAATGCTATACCTCATTTTCTCAAGATCAACAGATTCTTCAGTGGATAGACTGTGATTGCATCCGGTAAACGCCAACATGTCTTTCTCGTACCTACAAGGAAGATATTTGATTAATTGATGATTCTCAGCAACATTCATCAGAGAAAGGGAGTAAAAGTGGTCGCTAGCTTGTACCGCAAGTGAAGAGCGAGGTAGGGTTCGTTGTTTTCTCTAAGTCTTGAAGAGAGAACAGTGCTTAGATTCTCTATATCTTCAGAGTAACGAAGAGCTTCATAGTTTGCGTGACATCTAAGCTTCTGGATGGAAGGAGGTGGACTGTTGTTCGCTAGCCGAGAATCAGTGTGATTGAATACAATCACCTTATGCTTCTTCAGTAACTTGGAGATTGAGTTCCTGTAGTAACTCGACTGCGCGCAATCAAACCATTACAGTGTTAGTTAAAATCGCTGAAGAGAAAAACAGACAAGTTACTAAAAGAAAATGAAATGGTTTTACCTTAGACCAAGACACAGGATTCTTTTCAAGAGGCTTAATGGAAGCAAATTCTTGCGGTAAATACTCCACAATTTCGACTTCTCCTGCTAGTACTTTGATGAAATGTTTCCAGTCGAAAATGTCCTTAAACGTGCTGAATATACAGAGTTTTATTAGTTTATATGAATTGATGATGACGATGATGTTGAATTGCTGGTGATGGTGTTTACCTTGGATCACTCCAGAAAGATGAATGGTCAAGAAACGGAAGAACAAGAGATGCATTCATGATTTTAGCGATCGCAACCATATCGCATATCTGTAGAGAAGATATAAATTGAGGATACGAGAAAATCTTATGCTGGAAGTGGTAACATTAGATTAGAAGAAGAAAGAGATCACTTACGCCAGTTCTCATCTGGTTCAAACCACCATTGGCGTGAACAAGAAGGTACCCATTGGTTTTCTTGATCGGTTCTAACCCAAAAGAAAAAAAAACCGATTATTAGGTCTGAAGTTACTCTTATTTGTTTTCATGAAGACAAGAAAATGAGGAAATTTAATTTACTTTGGTTCTTAGGACGAGCCATGCATTTTTTATAGTTCCCAGTCTCTGGTTGATTCCAAATCTCTGGTATCTGTTGCAAAAAAAGAAGCAATATTAGCTCCATGATTAACGAATAAGCCCAATGGGCCAATATACTATTTAATCTCTTTTTGTCAACATCAAGATACTAGTTAATCTTTTATAAGCTGTTGTTATGTGATTAGCTAGAATGAAAACAAAATAAAAATATTGGATTAGTTATCAAACAACTAAAACTAAATCAAGTCAACCGCTAGAAAATTCAATGACGAATGGAGCAAACCCACGATGACTTCGTATTTCGTAAAAAATATTAATCAAATATACTCTTTAACGAACTTTAGAAATTTCCATTTTACGAAAACTAATCCTTTTTAATTAGTGTATAATTTTAATTAGATCCACCTCCGAATTTTTGTCGACACGAACAGAATCGAAAACATGGTTCTGTTTTTTTTTTTCCGGGAAAACAAAATAAAAAAAAAACGCGGAAAAGAATAAAATTTGTTGACTCTGTTTTTGAGAATATGAACTAACCGATCTTGTTTCTGGAAGGAGGACTTGAAAAGAGGAAGTGGATGATTCTTCTTCTCTAATGATCTTCTCCATCGTTGGTCTGGGATGAATAGACACGACGAACTCATGTTTCTCCACGAGTCTTCTCGGTCGTCCGGCACCGCCGGAGAGAGCAACGATGAGGAAGAAAGTGACGACGAGGATGGCCAATAGAGTTAGGATCAAACGGCCAAGATTGGTCGTTGATCTCATGTTACGAAACATCCCAGCCGTCCATTGAGATTTGTTCTCAACCATAAGCATCCACACGAGCCTGAATTTACGGAGAGAGAGGAACCCGACGACGTAATTGTGGTGGGAAACACTAGGACAGCACGACGACAAAGAAGATCCTAATCCTCCTCCTCCTCCTCCGCCGCCGCAGCTCGTGGCGGTTTCTTCCTCGTCGGGGACGTAAACGACTGCGCTTCCTAGTCCTCCTCCGACGGTGTTGACGTGGGAATGATCTTCTTGAGAATCAGGCACGCGCCGTCTTGTTGTTGTTGTTGGCGCCGCCGGTAACTGGCTGCTGCTCGACGGATTCACCGGAACGCCGACTGACATGTGGCCACCGGGAAAAACAGGGGATTCTTGAAAAAAATGAAAATGAAAGAACAAAAAAAAAAAAACAAACTTTGATATTTAGGAATCAATGATGTATCTTCGTCTCTCTCTTTCTCTCGCTTAAATATAACATAAGCGTGATCTCAGGCCGAGCAGACAAAATAACAATCTCTCTCGTTTTCTTTTCTTTTTTTTCCTTTCCTTCTCCAAAATATTTAGGACCAAAATGTAAATATATATACGATAGGAGCTATAAAGCTAAAAAAAAGTCGTTTTTATTTTGTCTATTAGAAAAGTCCTTTTATGCTACTTTTAATTCACATGTAAGTAAAAGCATGGTTACTGATCATTTGGTTATAAGTACGAAATTTGCTATTCAAGTTCTAAGAAATTTTCACTTTTTTTTTTTGTGTTGGATTTGTTTTCTTCTAATTATATATTTATGTTATATCTCTTAATCAATTTATAATCTTGATCTACATATTTGAGAACAATTATAAATTAATAAAAATAACTGTCAAGATAGTGTTTTAATTTTTTTTTTGATAACGTCTCGAAGTGTATTGATAATTACTGATTTCTTATTTTAAATAAATATCATCTATCTATATTTTAAAGATATTGGATGGGTTAATACTTCATTGCATTAAAATAGTCTAACTAGTAGTAACTAATAGAGTATAGACACGTAGAATACTATTTTTAGATTTTGGTTTTTATTATTGCAATAAATATATGCATAAGTCAATTATATGCACGTAGTCGAAAGATCAGTATATAGTTAGTTTTATAAAATTGCAAGTAACAAACAGTTTTTCATTTAAAACTGAAATCTTTGTAATTCATATTTGATAAATATCTAGATTCAGTGAAAAAATAAATGTTGATAACCTAAAATAATATCATTATATTAATATTTTGCAATATATCTATATAAGTAAATCACCTTACAACTAAAAAATCAAATCATAAAAAATGCTATTATCCTTTCCACTCATAACCACTCTTCTTCTTCTTTTGTTGGATTCCGTAAACCGTATTTTTAGATAAGATATATATCTAACATATTGAAAGGTTATATATATATATATAGATATATATTATAATATAATCTGTTAATAGTTTTAATTTAGTTTTTTTCTATTTGAGTTGTAAATCTGAGAAGTGCACAGTTTGTGTATATCCAAAATCGGCTTAAACTGAAGTATTCAAAGCCATTCCAAAATAAGTATGGGATATCGTGATTTTTTAAAATGGAACAGTTATGTCAACTTTCTTATTTTAGGTTTTAAGTGTTATATAAAACAATACTCACTAGACTAGTTTACGTGGAGACGGACCAATTCCCATAAATAACACTAGACATTAAAATAGCAAAGTGTGTTTATCATGAAGTCAATTGTCTTAATTTATCATGAAGTTGAAATAAAAACATGAGTAGCTTAGTTAATTTTGTAACTTTACTCAACAATTAGTTAGCCCGTCACATTACTTATCACGCATTTATCTTTTCCTTTCTAAGAACGTAGTAGAAAAAATAAATGAATTCATCATAATACGCTATAGAGATCACGTGTAGGCAGCTAAATAATTAAATAGTAATTAGGGTTTCTTTTCGTATACAGTCATAATATATAGTGACATTTATATATATCATAATCTTTCTCTGAAGAGAGGTAAACGTTATATATTGATCCCTTAAACAAAAATCGATCGGAGAAAATATGGGTAAGAAACTTACATTAAAGACAAACAAAATACAGTAAAACCTCTATAAATTAATAATGTTGGGACCATGAAAATCTATTAATTTATAGAGGTATTAATTTATCGATAAATTAATAATTATTAATTTATAGAGAGATTTTCCCAATTTGAAAGTTTTTTACAGAAAAAATATTTAAAAATGAGATTTAATCATAATAATTAGTATTTTATATAATCAATTACAAAGAAAGTAATAATTATTATGTCTTGAAAGAGAATGCTAACAATTTTTAATATAGTAAATATTAGAAATAAACTCTAACAAAACTAATGTGTCTATATATACATATATTTTGAAAATTTTACCTAATTATTAATTTATAATATTATTGGGACCATATATTTACAAAGGATTTTCAAAAAAATTATTATCTTATTATTTTATCGAAATATGTCTAAAATTACACTGGTCCCAACTTGGGACCGGATAAATTTATTAATTTATAGAAATTATTAATTTATCGAGTATTAATTCATAGAGGTTTTACTGTATACAAGTGAAAACAATATAACAAAAGTTTACAATGATGGCCTTTTTTTTATATGTAAGTATTTATGAGTATAAAAAGTGAAAAAGGTCTTTAGGATAAATTCGAACGTTACTCGATTTCCCGAATAGCTTTGTCCTCTTCCTACGTCCTTTTTCACTTAGACGATCTTGATTAATATGATACCCCATACCGAATAATTAATACTATTCAACTGCTACTGTACCCAAAAAAAAAAAAAAAAACTAAATGCACGAATATAAATAACCAAGAGAGATCATTGATCCCAAAACCATGTACGAACTAAATACGGGGACGTGGCAGTTACAAGATTCTCGATAAACAAATAGAGACACATCTCAAGAAGACATGTAAACCCCCCCCCCACTTAGTTTGATAACCGTTAGAATTCCATCAAAGTTAATAAAATATCATTATGACGACGAAACTTTTGAGTATCACTCACATTTTTTTTTGTTATTTTTTACTTCTGAACTCGATTTATATACTTCTTCTGTTTTTACATTTTCAAAGGTTAATCTCCGATAATGGACGAATAGCTAGTCGTAGTCAAAGACCATTAAATTATAGTTTAGTGGAAGATTAGTCTAACATTGTTAAGTTCTGGTCTCAAGAGTCAAGACCATAGAAGAACACTCCGAAACGTGATTTTTCCACCTTCTCTCAAGTCTCAAGTAAATTCTCTTGTTCTCACTACAAAAGAAATGTTTTTTATTTTTGTACATATATAATAAAAGCACAGAAGATGAAGTGAAGTTCTAACTACGGTGACGTCAAAACTCAAAAGGGACGAGACTCAATATATAAAGCAATTTGTGTTAAGAACCACCAATGAGATGGTCTTAGTCTTTTGGTCTTTTGGTCTTTTGGTCGACACTCGACATCATAGATACATAACAACAACACGCTTTTTAAAAATGGACTTGCGAGACTCAAAATTGACCCATTCTAATATTCTATTCTATGGAAGCGATTGTATCAGAGACTCACACGTGTGAGCTATGTATGTACGTATATATGTAAAAAAACACAGTATATATCGATACATAGAACGAAGGAGGTTTCGATTTCGAGTGGGGGGCCACGCGCCATTTAGGTGGAAGTCTCTCCATTTTGAGGGCGATTGGTGATGACTTTTAAAACTTTAAAATGGTTTTAAAGCCTTAACAGTAATTAATTTGCCAATCAACATTTTTTGCTTTTATTTTTTTTTAAACCATTAAAAGTCATTTCTATTTTTTCCTTCTTTGTTTTCTCATTTTTCTTAAAGCGTCAAAAACCTGACTTTAAATTTAATCAATTAAAAAGATTTATTTTTCATATTCTCGTTACATTTAAAACCTTTTCACAAGTTTATAAATATATTTTATATATTTTATTTTTATAAATTAATTACTCTCATTTTTTTCTTGTTCTTTTAAGATCCATTTCAATAATACGTTTATTTTATAAATTCATTTATGATATAATGTATATTTATTAGAAATATAAAATAATAATAATAAAAATAACATACATAACTTTAAAAGCTGTTCATTACCAATCAGATTTTAACAGTAAAATTTTCTACAGCCAAAACATATACAGCCAAATTCTCTACAGCCACAAGTAACAGTCGTTACCAATCGACCTCGTTATGTTATGTTAAGTGTTTTTGGGGGAAGTCAAATGTCTCTCAACAGTCAAGTCTCACCTACACCTGAAAACTGAAGGTTCGTAGTTGGGGGATGGTTTTTTGTTGTTAGGGTTGGCAAATTCTTAAATTTATTCGTTTTAATTTTTCGTTGTCTCTCTAATACATATTTATATGCATCGTCAATAGATACATCATTGTTGATAAAACTCATATATACCGACCGTATAACTATATCCCAAAAATTCTTAAAACAATTCAATAATTATTTGTTTCAATCCCTTCAACCAAAAAAAAGTTAATGTATATATATTTTCATGTAGGGATGTCGGATAAAGCTATATACTTAAAATATTCTCATATGCATTTGACTGCTTTAAAATCCTTCAATGAATCTGAATTTTCAAAGTAGGACGAAATTCCAAAAGTATTTTTGAAAAACTCTTTGTTTTTTTTTAATTAAATATTGTTTGATACGTAGAACTAGAATATGTTTTGTCTGCTATACAACTCACGTCTGATAAAACAAACGCGTACGGAGTTGTTGTTCTTCTTCTCCGTCTCCACCGTCATCACCGACACGTCGTTGTAGCCGCCGCCCATTTTCTATTATCACCTTTTCAGTTTAATATGTAAAACCATATCTTACATATGTTGTACTACGGATACGAGTAGGCAAAATAGCTTGTGCATCGAATTAAAATATATATATATGTACAGTACAACAATGTTTTGCTATTCAAAAAAAACAAGTTCCTTGAGCTTCTTCTGCAGTAACACTATCTTTGGTCCTTTTGTCCAAAATATAACTCATATATAGGCTCAGTAGAGTAACTCAGCAAAATTACAAAAAAAAAAGAAAAAAGAACTGATTCAAAATTGATCATCAGGAGAGAATCCTCTCTGCAACATCTCATCGTGAAACCGGAATGCCTCTGTTAAGTTATCTTGAGACACAAATCCATTTATCAGAGATGTATACGTTGACCTATCAGGTTCTATACCTCTTTCGATCATCTTCCTTAGCACAACCTCTGCTTCTTTCATTTGATTTTGTCTACAAAACCCATGTAAGATCGTGTTGTATGTAAATACATCAGGTACTAATCCTCCTTGCTTCTCCTCCATCTTCTTCACCAAACCAAAAGCTTTGCTCATGTTTTCTTCTTTGACAAAACCGTATATCAATGTGTTGTAACTGATGCAATCTGGCACAAAACCTTCTGAGATCATCTTCTCCAAAAAGCTTTCTCCATCTGAGGCATTACCAGATCGGCAATATCCCTTTATCATAGAGTTACAAATCATAACCGTTGGCTTTATACTTTTACTAGTCATTTCATCCCAAACTCGGAATGCCTCAGAGAGATGGCCTTTACTGCACAGCGCGTTGACCATAATGCTGTACGATATTGGAGTGGGAAGTATCTCTCTTGATACCATATCTGCCCATATCTCTTTTGCTGTGTCGATATCGCCTACCTTACCAAACCCATCTAACAGCGTGTTGTACGTCACAACATCGAGTTTGATTCTCTTTTCCTTCATCTTTTTGAAAAGCTCCATTGCATTTTGCAGATTTCCGAGCTTACAATGTCCATCAATCAGTATGGTTAAAGTGTAAGAATCTGGAAATAAACCCCTTTCGGTCATTTCATTGAACAACTTATCCGCTTCACGCAACATTTTCTGTTTGCATAACCCATGCAAAATGGTGTTGTAGGTAACAACATCCATAGCACAACCCTGCCGAAGCATATCATTTCTCAAATTCATAGCTTCAGAAATCATACCTTTTTTACAATACCCTTGGATAAGAATGGTGTAGATCACATTGTCAGGACTCAGACCAGCGTCCTTCACACTGTGAAAATACACTAATGCCTTGTCGAGATTTCCACTCCTAGCAGAAAGACTCATTACCGAGCTAAAACAAACCAAATCCGGAACAATATCCCTACATCTCATATCACTGAAAATCTTCTCCGTTTCGACAGCATCTCCCTTCTTACATGCCTCCATCAGCAACGATCTGTAGGTAGTGGAGTCAGGACTTAACCCAGATCTTAACATCTCAGCGAAAACTTCCTTGGCTCTCTCGTATCTCCCATGCTTACACAGTCCATTTATCACAGTATTAAAAGTATAAACACCAGGACTAAACCCTTTGCTCGGCATAGCATCCATCAACTCAAATGCCTCTTCCATAAGACCTTTACTAGAGTAGGCGCTAATCAATGTATTGTATGTAACAATATCCGGATAAACTCCCTTCTCTTTCACTTGTGATAAAAAAGTTCCAATTTTTTCCATTTTCCCATCTTTGCACAAAGCATTAACCATGATATTGAGAGTAAAAACATTAATACCAACGCCACTCCGAGAAATTTCCTGATAAACCCCCCAAGCCAATTCAACCCACCCGATCCTCACCAAGCTCCCGATAAGAGCATTACAAGCATCGATAGAAACCGTATAACCTTTGCTTCTAAGCAATGAAAAAGCCTCATGTGCTTCTCTAAGCTTTCTAGCCTGTACATAAGTCCTAATCAACAAATCGAAAACCGAATCATTGGAACCACAATTACTATACGTTGAAACCAAAGCATTCACAATCTCTACCCTAGAAACACCACTCCTCCTAATCATCCTAAGAACACAACCCTGAGCATCCGACAATCTCCCACTTCTCACCAGGATATGAATCATTGCGCTTAAAGACAAAGACGTATGCTTGAAATTCGTAAAATTAAACCCTAATTGATCCACGAACCTTTGAGCTAGACATAAATCATTGCGGCAACGGTACAAAACCTCAACGACGGCTAAAGGGTTTAGCCGAATCAGGTGGTTTCTCATAGAAGCCACATTATTACTACCTTGCTTCAAACTGAAACATATCCTCTCCACTGAATCAGAATCCGAAGAAGAAGACGAAGAAGAAGAGGGTTCGAATTCGAGAGAAGGTGATGAAGATGTGGTCAAGGTTTTGAGAGGTTTACATCGAGTGAGAGGGTCTTTTACGCGGGAGATTCTGGAAGGTATTATCCGGTGAACAACCATTTTTTTCAGGTTGACAGAGAGAGACTCAATTTGATTTCGATTGAGCAAATAAAAAATGGAAACTTTGAAAGCTCAATTTTGGTTTCTTCTTCACTTTGAATTTTCTGGTAATGTCATAAAACATCATAGGTCCTCCTCCTCTCCTACTCTTGACTCTTGAGAGAATAGCGAAAGTAAAGCGACGCCGTTTTTGTGGCTCTCAACGATCCGTTTTTAGATGGCCCATTAAGGTAAGGCCCAAATAAATGCTTTCAAGAAAAGCCTAACTAATATCGAAGAGGAAAAAAGAAAAAAGGAAAACTTTTTCGTTGACCAAAGAAGAAAAAGGAAAACCTTTCATGTTCCCGCTAGTTTCCTCTGTTCACTGTTTAGAAACCTGAAACCCTAAAGTCGAACCGAGAGAGAAGAATCGGAGCCTAAATCACTGTCAACCCATAACCATAGAGGAGGAGGTTTTGCTAAAAAGGTACCATCTTCTCGTTTTGTTTAATGTGTTCGTCGCTTCGTTTGTTTTCTTGGATTTTCTCGAGAATCTACAACGCTGTCTCTAAGCGAATAAAAATCCTTTCTTGTTTGGCGAAATTATTCTATCTTCTTCTCAGATTTGTGTCCATTGTTTACCCCATTGCGTATATAAACAGAACCCGCCTTGTTCGTTTTCTGGGTACTGTTCCTATTGTTTATTGCTCTGAAAGTGTAAAAATGTTACCTTTTTTAACTTTTCCAATGCGAATTTTATCTCTGATTTTGGGTACTGCATGTTTTTGAAATTTATCAATCTGCAGTCGAGACATGTCAAATGATTTGGAGAACTCGGTGATAAACTTGAAACTACTCATAGATGAAGAGAAAAACAAAGTTGTATTCGCTGAGGCCGGTAAAGATTTCGTAGATATACTCTTTAGCTTTTCCACTTTGCCTATGGGAACAATCGTCAGATTGCTGGAGATGCATCAGAAGTCACGGTCTATACCCATAGGTTGTTTCAATAACATCTATGGAAGTGTTGGGAGTATGGGCATGAAGCATTTCAGTACTGAAGCTTGCAAGCAAATGCTTTTGTATCCGGGGAGTTTGAGTCAGGAGAAATGTCAAAAGGTTAAGCTGAGGATAGATGATTCCGAGGCTACCAAGTGTTTCATGTGCCCTATGTTTGTGCGAAGCGGACAATGTAGCAAATTGTATAGCAATTTCAATACCTCGAGGTGTAGCTGTGGGAATTTGATGGATGAAGTGATCCAGTTTCAAAGAGAAGGAGGCGGAACAAGTGTAGCAAATGGTTCTGAAGCTGGAGTATTCGTGAGGGGTGGTCATACTTCATTCATAATCACTGATGATTTGAAAGTGCAAGTTAACTCTGTTGTGTTAACACTTAATGTTCTTAAAGATCTTGGCTATGCAGATTGCAATAAGTTGGTTGAGATGATTCTCGAGGTTAATCTCCAAGAGGTATTCTTCTTTTTCTCCTACTACTAGACCTTAACCCTTCATGTTCTTAAGCCAGTTTTCTCGGTGTAATTTATTAGGTAGTGACTTTGCTGGAGTGTTTGTTCACATCGGATACCCCATTAAGTGATACATTTCTGAAAAAGAAAAGCCCACATGGTGTGAAGAGAACTTATAAAACGCCGAGTCATCCTCTCAGTGAAGATAGAGAGGAAACAAAAGCCGATCAAACGATAACGCTCAATGCATATGTTAGGAAGGAGGAAGGGAACATTCTATATGTTGAATGTGGTGAAGACTTTGTTGATCTTCTTTTCTCTTTTCTTGCTATGCCTCTGGAATCTGTATGGGAAACCTCGGGCACCGGAATCGTCCTTGGATGCATTGGAAACTTGTGCAAAAGCTTTAAGGATTTGAGTGTTGATTCCGGACGAGAAGCTTCAGCTTTTAAATGTGTTCTTCCTCATTACTACAAGTGTCAGAAGCAGCTGCTAAATGAGGTTGTCACTACCCATCAGCCACCAACTTATTACCGTTTTGTATCCTTCTCTGTGGATCATTTCAGAGAGTACTGTTTGTCTGAAAACTCTGGTAAGCGACTTGTGTACGACTGGGATAAACTCGTGCCGGTGACTTCGATAGATCCAAAAACCGAAGGCAATGACACTGCTGAATCAAGTGGATTTGTGAAGAGAGGGACAAAGTTTATGGTGACAGATGATCTGATCATTACTCCTTCTAACTCAACCTCAACCATTGGATTCTTAAAGGAGAAACAGACCCGACTGGATGATGTAGAAATCCGAGTGATCAATATAACCAAAGAAGAGGTAAATGCTTGTCAAAGATTCTTGTTTGATTTTGATTTCAACGTACATATTACCTTATAACATCCCCTATATATGCATTTGCAGGTCATCCGATTATTGGGAGCTTCAATGGCGACATCCTCTGCCTTAAGCAGTGGTCTGTTAGCTATAGAATCAGCTTCAACAAGTGATCCTCAAAGCCGGTTTTTCAAGAAGCCCAAAATTGAGACCGAGATTTGAGAAGCAATGTTCAAACTGGTAGTTCAGGTTCTAGCTAGATTTGATCACTAGGGAATCTTTTGTTTAGCATCTAATTGTTTCAGCTACTATATTAGTTTGTTTTTTGGGACATAGACTTTGTCTAATCTTCTGATTAAGCATCTGGCTGTTTCAGTTACAATATTAGTGTTTTGGACATCTACTCTGTATAATCAATCTTTTCAATTTAGCTACTTCTCGTATTGCTATTTTTTTTTTTTTTGGGCAAGACGTTGAAATTAGTTTGATAAAAGGGGTATAATTACAAGTTAAGTAAGTATCAGGGGTTATCTTTAAAGACATCAGAAAACTTGTGCCAGTTTAGTTTTAAAAAAATTACAGGAGGGAGACGAATCACAGGTTCAGTCTCTCTCAGTTTTATAAATTCAAACCTTTTTTTTTTCTCCTTTTCCAAGTCTCGAACAGATTCTCTGTATAACTTTACAACATATCAGTTCATCTGTATTCATGGAGATGATTGAAGGATAGATTTTGACTTTATTGAATCACTAGTTCCCAAAAGTTTTGATAAGTGTTACTAATATCTCTTTGGGACAAGAGAAGAAAAGTAAATAGATTATTAACAAATGACTCTCTCATAAATTCCGAATCCGAATCAAGGGGGAAGTTCAAAGGTTTGCTTTATAGTGGCTCTTGGGTGACTCAAAGTGTTTTGGCTCTTGACTATATATATGAGTGTTAGATCCAACTTGTGTTTTTAGGAGTGTCCTTGCCTTTTTATTTTCTTATTAATCTAGTTTTGCTTTTTCTCGTTGATATTGATGGCTGAAGTTTCAGAAGATCCCAAGTTTACTTTGAGACTTTTAGTTGATGAAGAGAAGAACAAGGTCTTTCTGGCTGAGGCTGGTAGAGATTTTGTGGATGTACTCTTCAGTCTTCTGACACTGCCAATGGGCACCATTGTCAGATTGATCGAGAAGCATCGAAAATGTGAGCTTGGTTGTTTTAGCAACCTCTACAAAAGCGTTGCGGACGTAGGCATTGAGAATTTCGAGACTGAAGCTTGTCAGCAGATATTGCTTAACCCAAGGAGTGTAAAGGAGATCCAGTGCAAAAGGCTTAAGCTCAACATAAACCCTACTGATGATCTCAAGTACTTTAAGTGCTGCATGTTCTCAGCCTGCAACTTGTGCACTAACTTTAGCGGCTTTGAGTGTGTATGTGGAGAGTTGATGGACCAGGAAATTGAATTATCTGAAGAAGATCAAGTAGCAGCAGCAGGAGGTAGCATACATAATGGTGTTGATGGAGTGTTTGTCAAAGGCAGGTCTTCATTCATCATCACCGACGACTTTCTTGTCTCTGTTGGTTCTACTGGTCTTGTCTTGGAAACGCTTAATCGTCTTGGATGTTCTGATGTTAGTAAGCTTGCTGAACGGTTTCTTCATATTGGTCTCGCAGAGGTATTTTTTTTTTTTTTTTTTGTAAGTAACATCTCGTCTACTATGCATAGTAGTATAGTATTATGGTGTATGGTATTTAAAATACAATTTTTTTTAGCTTCTATGGAACTCACTGTGTTTTTTTTGGGGCTGTTAAATAGATTTTGACTCTTCTGGAGTATATGTTCTTTTCAAATACTCCCTTGACTAGCACTTTCTTGAAGAAGCAAAGTCCAGATAATGTGTACAACATACACAAGCTTTTGAGTCCAGGTGTGAAGGTGAAAACAGATGATGAAAAACCAGAATTTACTTTTGAATTGGATGCAATTGTAAGGAAGCAGGACATGAAGATTTTATATGTTGAATGTGGAGAAGACTTTGTTGACCTTCTCTTCACTTTTCTGGCTGTCCCTCTGCAATTTTTATGTGATAGCTCTTTAGGATGCATTGGAAATTTGAGCAGAAGCTTCAAAGAGTTGAGTGTTGTTGATACAGCTTCCAAATGTGTGCTTCCTTATTACTATAAATGTCAGAAGCAGTTGCCTCATATCACCACTGAAGAACCACCAGTTTACTACCGTTACCGGAATTCCAATCCTCGTCAACCGGACTATAGTTTGACCACAGATCCTGACCAGACTCTGCTCTATCGAAAGGACAAACTAATTCCTGTGACTTTGATTGATCCAAGATCTCTTTGTAAAGATCATTCAGAGAATGATAGTGGGTTTATGAAGAGAGGAACAAGGTTTACAGTTACTGATGATCTGATCATCACACCTAGGAATTCGTTGAGTACATCTATTTGCCTTCTGAAGAAGTTGAAGATTCAGGCAGATGATCTGGAGGTGCAAGTAATTAGCATCCGTGAAGCTGAGGTTACGTTTTTATTTCTCAAGTTATACAATTTACTTGCTCTCTCCCTTGCTTTCTTGTCTAACTGTGTCTCTAAAATCAGGCAATGAGTCTGATGAGAGCTTCCTTGTTGACATCCTCTGCTTTGAACTCTGCTTTTTGGAATTTGATTGCGAAGAAGATCAAGGTAGAGACTTGAAGGAACTGAGAGAGGGTCCTATGAGATTCAGTTGCTGTTGCTTCTTTATTATGATCTGAAAAGACATTGTTTAATCCATGATCTTCAACTATTTAAACTCCACATTGTTCTATCTTTTCTGTTTTTGCTAGTTTTCCTTTGGTTTCTGTAGACTTGAACCTTAGCTGAACAAAGATTGATGTTTTCAAGACAGACTTTGAATCCTTTTCATTAGCAGTCTTGTTATCTTAAACAAAGCAATACATATGTTTTGTGATGGGGATAAACTTGTTTCAAGGAATTTATTTACAAGCTAGGAAAGATAGTTACTAAAGAATCCTAGATAGTATCTCTAAAAGATACAATAAGATTTCTCGTATTATTCCCATTTCCTTATCATGTGAAACTGAATTTAAATTAAGTGCTTGGTAGGTGTTTTGTAATTGTGAGTCAAGGAGAAAGGGGTTGGTTTTGTTCCTAGGTTTTCATTCGTTTGATCTACAATAATGGCTCAGAGTTCTAAGGAACCAAAGGTTAGTTTGAGACTTATCATTGATGAAGAGAAAAATAAGGTCGTTCTAGCTGAAGCTGGTAAAGATTTTGTTCAAGTGCTCTTCAGCTTTTTGACATTGCCGATGGGAACAATCGTCAGATTGCTTGAAAAGCATCAAAACTCTGGTCCAGTTTCTATTGGATGTATTAGCAACCTTCATAGAAGTGTTGTGGACATGAAGATTGATGATTTTGAGACTGAAGCTTGTAAGCAAATGTTGATTTATCCAAAGAACATTAGGGAAGCTCAATACAGAAGCCTTAAGCCTAACAGAGACCCTACTGATTTCTTCAAGTGCTTTGGGTGCCAATACTTCGGTCTTTGTAGAATGTGCAGTAACTTTGACACGTCCATATGTAAATATGGAGAGGTGATGAATGAGGAGATAAGTTTCTCAGAATATGAGCAGTTTGAAGACAGCATGCAAAATGCTGTCCACGGAGTATTTACTAGAGGCAAGTCTTCATTTATCATAACCGACGACTTAAGACTCAAAGATCTTGGTTTAGTTGATCATGATTTGAGCTGTGTTATAGGCTTATCATCAGTTTTGTTCAATATCCCTAATTTTGAACGCTCACGTAAAAACAGTGTTTCAAACTGAAACCCTCTTTCTCGACCGGAAGGTTCTTCCCTGTGAATTAATTATATTTATAGATTAAAGAAAAAACAAATTAATCAGAAAATATCGTTTCCCCTTCCGTTGCCCCCAAAACATAACAAGTTTGCTTCGCCGTTTACGCCTCCGGCGTGATCTTTGAGAAGAACTCAAGTAAAGAGATCTGAAATCCGAATCTCCGACTTGAATTTGTAAGAAGAGATGCTTTGATGATTCCTCTTCTTTCTTTTGATTTTGTATTTCTTAGGGTTCCGTTCGTGTGATTTTGTTTCTGTTCCTTTGAAATTACAGCGACAATGCTTCAAATTCGGCTAAGGAGGGATTCGCCGACGGAGATTGGAAGCGGAGCGAGGCCTTCTCCGACGGAAACTGTGACTGTTGCCTGTCCCGACCATCTCGTCCTCGCCGATCTTCCTGTAGCCAAAGGAATCGGTTCCGTTACTCCAACCACCGTTATCAAGCCCGTTGGTCGCCGTTCACGCCGCCAGTTAGGCGAGAGAGTTCACTTCTGCGTCCGTTGCGATTTCCCCATTGCAATCTATGGTCGTCTGGTAAGCTTAGTGTCCCTCTGGGTTTGTGATTTGGCTAGGGTTTTTTTTTTTTGGGGGATTGAAAACTTTGTGTTGTTTCGTTTTGCAGATTCCTTGTGATCATGCCTTTTGTCTTGAATGTGCTCGTAGTGATTCCATCTGCTATCTGTAAGCATCTTTTACTTTGCTCTAACAATGCTTCATTTAGTACAGTCTAATCTGTGGTGTAATCTACAAAGAGCTATACTTTGAAGTAGGCTTGTGTTCTTGAATTGGTAAGTTAAGAGACATGGAAGCATTTCATTAGATGCTTTGGTAATCCATTCCACAGAGCTCCTTGTAGAGATTTACTAGGCGATGCGATTATAGTGGAACTATCAAACTGAATACTTGCTGTCTCATGTGTATGTGTGTCTATGTTATGGGACAGATGTGATGAACGGATTCAAAAGATACAGACGATCAAAATGATGGAAGGAATCTTCATCTGTGCAGCTCCTCATTGTCTTAGATCTTTCCTGAAGAAACTTGACTTTGAAGCTCATGTCCATGACCTCCACGGAAGCCTATTACAAGCTGATGCAGAAAAAGAAGATGGTAACGACTCAGATGTTCAGAGTACAAAGCATCAGTCTTCAGCTTCAGAATCAACATTGCGAGGTCCCTTAAGATCCCAGCAGCAACAACCCCGTGAACAACCGTTACTAAATAGGTCGGCCTCAATGACAAAATCACCATCTGGATTTGGTCAAGTCCAGAATTACCCTGCAGATAGCGATAACTCTCGCCCTCCGGGATTCGAGACTGCTAGTCCTAAACCAGGAATCCGGTTCCCGGACTACCAGCCTATGAATCTTATGCAACCGCCCAGCTTGCCCATTCCAATGAATCAAAACCAAGGTTTACCACAGCAGTTTGGCTTTCCGTCTTATCCATCAAATGATGGATCATCTCAGCAGTTCTATAACGGTGCTCCTTATGAGATGACAAGAACAGAGAGTGGCGGATCAGAACAAGGTTCATTGCTCGGGTACCCGCCTACACCAATGATGAATCCGAACTTCCAAGGATCTTATCCTCCTCCGTCATGGAATTCGGGAATGGCACCGCCTCACACGAACCAGCAGCAGGGTAGTCGAGGTAGAGATGGTCAAAATTTTGGGTGGCAACAAGAGAACCGTGATGGCTTTGGGCAGGAGTAAGTGTAGGCTAGTTTGAACTTTTTGTATACTGTTAAACTCGTGGTTTGGAAGTTTCAAGTATTTTTGTGTTTCTTAAACGCTGTCGTATCGGTTCTAACTTGTAATTCGATTAAACCCAATCTGAACCGAGTCAAAACCGTGCCAAAAATCGATACGGAAACCAAACTGATTTGAACTGGACCAAATGTTAAGTCATCTGCATATCACATGTCTCATAACCCAAATGTATAATGTGTACAAAAAGAGACAGAGAAACAAAAAGGTTCTTAATATAGTAAAAGCTTAGAGATTTGTCATCTTTGTGTGTGTTTTTTCTTTCCCTTCCTTTTTTTTTTGTATTGGCTTTTTGAGTATAATGCTCACAGAACAAACAGTTCACAGTCTCTTTATTGGGATTCCTTCACTCTACATTGGTGTATTCAGCAACAAGTTCAAATGTCTGCAACTTTTGTTTTTTTTAAATTGATAAATGGGTTATATTAGTCTATTGAGATCTAGTGAAAATTAATTGACATAGCAGCAAACATGTGGAATCATTACTGTATAAGTGTGTATGGCTGTGAGAGAAAAAAAATTTGGTTTCAAAATAGTATATGGATTCTGTAATAATGAAGCATAATGATACATAGCAATATTTGCAAGACACCATTATTTCACATTATGAGGTTGAAGAAACTGAGATATTAAAGAAACTTTTTACCATGTTTATATTAATTATTGCGACCCCCGTATAAAATTTCAAAAATGTGAAAAGCTAATCATTGTAGTAATTTTTCATGATTAATCACCAATCATTATAAACCCAACCAAAAATATTAGTATTTTATATAACGTTAAAATAACTATGAAGTAGTATACTATATAGTTGATTTATATTTCTCTGATCACAATTTTTTTTTGTTGTGGTTGTGTGATCTTGCTTAAAGTTCCCTTTTCTAAAATCATGATATTAGAGTATATATGACTGTTTAGGAATTAGGAAAGACTAAAAAGAGCTTTAGTTGATTGGCGAAAATATAAATATATAAAAGCCCACATTAGTTGCACTGATTGCGTTTAGGTTAAATATGGATGATCAATATTAATTACTACTTGGAACGACAATAATATCAGAGTCACTAAAATTATGAAATACTACGTGGGTGGTGATAATTTACTCTTCTCCTCACTCACACGTACGAAACAGATATTTTTTTACACAGGGCTGAATATAGTATATTTCATACTTTGTTTAGTTATATAATTTGAAATTTTTTTTTAAAGATTAAATGAATTGTTGGCTAATTAAAAAAATTCGTAGAAAATGTTGTGAATATAGAAAAAAATATATATACTTACAAGATTTGATGGCGTGAATTGCTTTTTTCTTTTCTGCTTTTTCTTGGCTCTTTAAAGTTGGAATCTTTGAAAAGCCAAAGTATATCTTTTTCCCCTCTTTGTTATTTCTAATAGAAAATGTAACAACTATAGTTTTACGTCTTAAACCTACCCATATGCTATAACCTTCATCCTCTAAGCTTAGCCGACATATTAAAAAACTCATTGACATCCACTCAGCATTTGGGATTTTAATTTACATTAGAGATTAATTATATATAATAGCGCATGTTTGCTTTTCAAAAGGAGCTTGGAACTTAGCTTAGTTAGGTTTTTAAAACTATATACGACTTTGGGGTTAGGACAAAGCCTGAAAAAACCACTTTTGCCTCATAAGACAAAAGAAATCGTAAAAGGGTAAAAAAATGAAATCATTTATATAATTTCAGCTAAAATTAAGACGTAATTGGTGGTTTGTGTCGTTGCTATAGAACATACTATTATTGCAATTAGGTATTACATACAAAACCGTATATATTTGGACCGCGACAACTACATGCAAATAGGCATTCACGTTGATGCAAAACGTATTAGTATCAGCACACACACGTGTTGTTGTATATTGTCAGCATTTATAACTAATCAATAAATACACACACTTCTTTTTATTTATTTATTTATTTTGTTATAAAACGTTTTGATAATTCATTAATGTTAAAAAGAAATTGATTAAGAGTTGATAGCTGATGTATGTTCGTTCTGAATCACTCTTTAATTCTTGTCAACTTTAAAGTACGTACTTAAGTTGTTATAATCTTATACGTTTCACTAGAATGATCTGGTCATCCGTATTACATTTTTTTTTTTTTTGTAAATAAGAAAAGGTTATCACAAAAATATATATACCAACCAGGCATCAAAGGACAAAAAAGAAAAAAAGAAAAGAAAAAAAGAAGAAGTTAATAGTAATTCTCAAAGAACATAAAATCAGAATGGCAGAGAGATCGATCAACCCATGAAAAAAATCACAAACCATTATTCTTATATATTAATATTGTCAGACTCAATTGATACCTTATAATACATTAGGGCAGATTTTATATGACACCTGCCCAATTCATTTTTTCTCCAAAGCCCAATGTAATTTTTAATTTTAATAATAATATTAAATTGTGGGATTTTTGGATTTTCTATAATAATAATTTTTGTTTTCACTTCATCTCCTTTCTCTTTCAATGTCCGTTGGTAACAGACGAAAGAAGTTTCAGACATAACACACTCTTCTCTAGTTTCTCTCTCTCTCTAAGCAATTCAGCAGACAAGACAGTGATGATATAATCCAGAGACAAGATAGGAGGATTACTCATCGTTTCTTCTCATGAATCTCTCCGCCGACCAAGCTTCCGTCGCCGACGAAATTATTCCGCCGCCTCAACCGCATCGCTTATCAACATCATGTGATCTCCACCCAGACGAACGCTTCTCCGGTTTCTGTCCTTCCTGTCTATGCGACCGCCTCTCCGTCTTAGATCACAACGCCGCTCCGCCTCCGTCTTCCTCCCGCAAACCTCCCACTATCTCCGCCGCGGCCTTGAAAGCTCTCTTCAAGCCTTCCTCCAGTGGTACTAACAACAACCCCTCCAATGGGAACGGTCGGGTCCGACCCGGTTTCTTCCCGGAGCTCCGGCGTACTAAGTCGTTTTCAGCGAAGAACAACGAGGGGATCCCTAGTGCGTTTGAGCCGCAACGTCGGTCTTGTGACGTCAGACTCCGTGACGTTCCAACCAAAGAAGCTGACACCGTCGGTAGAATCGAGGACGAGACTAGGAAGTCTAGCGTGAGCGAGACTGTTTTAGAAGTTAACGAAGAAACTGAAATTGAGGAGGTAGCAGAAGATGGTGGCCACGCTGAGATCGTGAAAGATTCCGACGAAATTGTCGAGGAAGAAGAGGAATTGAAGCCGATGAAGGATTACATGGATCTCTGCTCACAGACAAAGAAACCGTCGGTGAAAGACTTCGCCGGGAGTTTCTTCTCGGCGGCCTCTGTTTTCAGCAAGAAGCTTCAGAAATGGAGGCAGAAGCAGAAGGTTAAAAAGCCGAGAAGCGGTGGAGACGGCGGAGGAGGACGGCCACAGTCCGAGATCGGATATGGCCGGAGATCCAGCGACACGGACCCGAGGTTCTCGCTTGACGCCGGGAGATTCTCCGTCGACATCGGTCGGATTTCGATGGACGATTCACGCTACTCGATCGACGAGCCAAGAGCATCGTGGGATGGTCACTTGATCGGCAGAACGACGGCGGTTAGAGTTCCTCCGCCGCCATCGATGTTATCAGTGGTAGAAAACGCTCCGGCGAATCGATCAGACATGCAGATTCCAATACAAGAACCGTCGATTAATCCGACTGACGGTGAATCGGATCCGATAATCATAATCCCAGGCGGATCGAATCAAACGCGAGACTACTACACTGAAGCTCCGTCGTCACGGCGACGTAAGAGCCTCGACAGATCCAATTCAATTAGAAAAATTGCGACGGAGCTAGACGATGTCAAATCGGTGTCGAATTCGAAGGTATCTCCGGCGACACCGATAGAATCAAACTCCATGGAAACAGAGGAGAACAAAGGGAATCAAAACGGCGAGAAGAAATCGAGACGGTGGGGGAAATGGAGCATTCTAGGGTTTATATACAGGAAAGGTGTTAACAAAGACGATGAAGAAGAAGATAGGTATAGCAGATCGAACAGTGCCGGAATGGTTGAGAGGTCCACATCGGAATCGTGGCCGGAGATGAGGAACGGAGAAGGAGGACCGAAGATGAGGAGGAGTAACAGCAATGTGAGCTGGCGAAGCTCCGGCGGAGGATCCTCAAGGAATAAGAGTTCGAGGTACTCGTCAAAGGATGGAGAGAACGGTATGTTGAGGTTTTATTTGACACCGAGCTGGAGAACAGGTGGTGGGAGTGGCGGCGGAGGCGGTGGTGGTGGGTGGGAGAAGACGGCGGCTCGAGCAAATAGTCACGGCCACTCTATAGCCAGGAGGGTTATGAGGCTGTATTGACCAAATTGTCCCTCTTCTTTTTTAATTATTGGGAGCAATGTGAGGTTTTGGTTTGGGGTTGTCTCAATTTTCTTTGTGAATAAATTGGTTATCTCTACTTAACCGGAGTTATTCAGACCAAAATTGAAACGGGTCAATTTCGAATGTGTGATATAAACCCCCTCAAAACCTAAGTACAGTACTCGGAACTTTTGAGCTATAGCTCTCATCTCACTCCGCCGTCGTCTTTCACCACATTCTCCGACTTATGATTGTTGTGTTCCTCGGCCTGATTCCGTTGCAAGAATGCAACTAGCAGAAGATTAATAAACAGAGAAAGGTATGGATAGTGTAAAAGCTTGAAATGTGGGTGATGCAATGTAAGTGTTCGGCGAAATGTCTGAGAGAAGGTTATGTATTATCTCTTGCTAGTTTAGCTTAAGGTATGGATCGTGACTCAGGATTAATTAGGTGAGTTAACACTATTATCTTTATAGGCCCTGGCCAGCTGAGCTTATTTCTCGTGCTTAGCATCAAAAATCAACCTGCATTACTATCCTTTTCTCTTAATTTTAAGCAACTACAGCTAAGTCTGAGTTCGAGCCCTTCTGTATTATCAGTATTGAATCTTGAAGTAGCTTAAACAATCATAACAGACAACTCCGGTTTTCAAATACGATTGGTTTTTGCGTGAGCAGCACAAGCATCTGGATGACACACATTGGTCTTGGTGGTTTGAATAAACATCACTGAGATCTGTTGTTTTACGATGCAAAAGCAAATGTAAAAGTAGCTTGACGTATCAAACCCAAGTGTTAAGTTTCAAACTTGGGTCTATTAATCAAGTTATATGTTCTTTGTAGCCTCAACCTCCTTGTTGCTGCCTTTTTTTTATTTGCTTGCTTCTTCAGTTTCTTTTCAAAATCAGCCAACTTTTGTGTTTTCATTGTCCACTATCTTTACTCTGTTTAATCCTGTGAATTTTTGAAAGCTTGCATTTGAGTCTCAGAGCGTTTGGTCATAGATTCGTCAGTACTATTCTAGTTGGTCAGTGTAAAATAAATCAATCTCGGCGACTGGAACAAAAGAATCTATTATAATAAATACCTGTAAATATGTTTTAGTAAGAAAGAAGTAAAGAAATTATCAAACAGGCGATTCAGAATGAAACCATGAAGAAGAAAAAATGGAGTACGAGATTTCTCTCTATAAAACATTTGATGTTTTTTTGAATCATCAAAGCGCATGCCCTGTCGCTTTCTTGTAAGTGTACCATTTAGCAATCCAAAGGTAGACCAAGAAATTCAAGAAACTCAAACCAGCTAATAGCCAAAAGAAGTAATCAAGATGACCATTGTTGAGATTTTTGGCGATCCATCCAGGTCTTCCACCCGATCTCGTGACATTAGTCACCACTGTCACCAGCAATGTGCTCAGATAATTCCCAAATGCAACCGTTGTGAGCGACAAAGCTGAGCAGAGACTCCTCATAGCATCAGGAGCTTGATCATAGAAGAACTCAAGCTGACCTATGAAAGTGAAAACCTCTGCGCAACCCACAAAAAAATACTGCGGCACTTGCCAGAATATCGTCATCGGGACAGTCTCCTCATTGTAAAGATTGTGTGTTCGAACATAGCTTAACCTTATGACCTCGAGGATTCCCGCAGAGATCATAGAGAAGATAGAGATTACAAGGCCGATTCCCATCCGTTGAAGCTGCGTGAATCCGCGTTCGTGACCTGTGTATTTCCGGGCAAGGGGAACGATTAGCTGGTCATAGACGGGTGTCCAAAAGAGGACACTAAGCGTGTCGAATAAGGAGAGCGATGCGGAGGGGATTTTGAAGTTAGGTCCCATGTGTTGGTCCATCGTGTTGCCTTGTAGTACAAACACAGTGCCCATTTGGCTATAAACCGCAGCAAAGACAATCCCTGTGGCCCAAATCGGTAAGAGACGGATCAGTGCTTTGAGCTCTTCTACTTGTGTCACTGTGCATAGCTTCCAGGACGACGTAGCTGCTGCTTTGTTGTCACTCTCTGTCTCCACTGCTGCTTTATCAAAGAACCTGAAATGATTTTTAAGTTTATCAAAAGTTAAACCACCAACACAATTACAGACTGGACTTGGTTGACACTAACAACCAAGCTTGTGCCTTACGTTAATATTTTGGTGTGCTCGAGTTTCCGGCTTCCTCGGATACTGCTTTCGGCGTCTTGGTTCTCATAAAGAAGAGATTCATCTTCTGGGACTCTCACTTTAGATTTCCTGCAAGAAGCCACAATGACTTGAAGCATTCTTGTGAGGGGACTTCCTCCTGGTTTCTGCAGCCTATAGAACTTGCTTCCAGCAAAGAAAAATACGACGGCGATAGCCATTGCGACGGTGGGAATGCCTAAACCCCAACCCCAACCAACATTCATCTGAATCCAAACGAGAACAGAGGAAGCAATCATCGCACCAACGTTGATTACAAAGTAGAACCAGTTAAAGAAAGAGCTTTTAGACTCTTTCTCTTCTTCATCAGTATCATCAAACTGATCAGCACCAAAGGACGAGACACAAGGCTTGATCCCTCCTGTCCCGAGTGCGATCAAGTAAAGCGCTATAAATGTAAGCGCGGTTTGAGCTGAGGTTGCGTGACATTTGTCTCCGTTGCAGGTTGGTGTTAGACCAGGAACAGAAGCGGACATGGTCAACAGCGTCATTCCCTAAATTAACAGAGCAAACAGTTTAAAGATTATGTGATGAATTAAGAAAACTTGATGAAATATTTTGTCATGTTATAGATTTACGGCAATGTAGATGACGACGAAGGTAGAAATGGTCCAGTATCGGCCAAGATAAGCATCGGCAATAAAAGCACCGATCAAAGGCGTAGCGTAACATGTTCCAGACCAGTTACTGACACTGGTGGTTGCAGTGACGTTTTCCATATTCATTTGTTTCTCGAGATAGTTCACGAGGTTAGTACTCATTCCATAGTAAGCCAATCTTTCACAGCACTCAGTACCTGCATGCCAGTTGAACATAGTAGATACAATCAAAATCAAAATGTTTTGGTATAAGCTTCACTTTACCACCAAGAGTCTAAGGTCTTGAAACATTACCGAGAATGAATCTGCAAGCTTTCCAGGTTCCTGTCTTCTTCTTGTTTGCTGGTTTCTTGTAAATGTCAAGAGTTCCATCTTGTGTATATATATCCATGTCCTCCTCTCCCATTGTCGTCTTCTCCGGTTTCATCAAGTTTCAGTCTGAGTTTAACCGGGTAAAGAGAATCAATAAACAAAATTACAAAAAAAACTAGAAAAAAAAATATATATATATATATGATCTGAGTCATATTGATGAAAATATGAGAATCAGTAAAACAAGAAAAAGATGACTTATCTGCCAAGTAAAATCTCAACAATGATAACTTTTAATAACCATATGATTTGATATCTCCATAACGCCACCAAGAAACAGAATTGACGAACATGGATGATTTGTTTTAATTCGATATTATCCTTACGTGCATAATTAATTAATTACTAGGACAACAAAAACAAAACGCGTTGTAATCGCGACAAAACATATAGAAAAACAAAAATCGTGGAGAAATCTACGGATCTGATAAATTCGTTTGCAAAATTATGAATGCGATACCATATTCTTCGATTTGTGTACATACAGAAGATAAGAAGAAGAAAAAAACAGATGGATGATCAAAGTATATCGAATCGAGACAGAGAGAAGCGTTGTTTATAACCTCTTCTCCTAGGAAGCGACGGTGGTGGCTACAGTCACTGAAGACGATGGTCGGTGGAGGTCTGCTTGTGGCTGCACGGCTGAGGAGTGAAGAAGATAAGAATTCAAGCGTTGAAGCGTTAGTTTTTGCACCGTGTGATGTGATGTGATGTTGATAGAGTTATATTTATAACAACACACTTTGCTGGGATTGTGAACCCAAACCAGGTTTCGTCTTTTTTTTACCAGTTACGTCCCTCTATTTATTACGTTTTCTCTATTATTTGTGAATCTTTTGTGATAACTAAAGAAGATGTTGTGGGGATGCTAAATCCTATTTTAAGTAATGCAGCATTAAAGATCGTGGTTATAAGTCAAAGATTTGAAAATTAGACAAACTTGCCTAGTTTATAACAAAAATTAACTAATTATGGGAATACATCTACAAACAGGATAATTAAAATGGGATACACACTCAACTTATTTGGTATTTTACTTTCCTTTGCTGTGATTGTGTCTAGATTCATAGAATGGCTATAACCAAAATAAATCTAAACATGAGGGATCATTTTGCAAATGTTTTTCTCCTTTTCCGATGTTATATTATCCACTGATGGATGATTCCGTATTTATCATATGAATCTTTTTTTTTCCCTTTGGTCAAATAATATACATTGAAATGAGAATCGTTTGGTCAAATTAAAGTAATAAATCTAAAGTCAAGAATCTTTTTTTATTTATTTACGTATAATATTTCAATGAAAATAATCAATTCTGACTAGTGCTCCTAATTATGAAAATGATATAGTTTTACAGATCAGATTAACCCAGTAGTTTCTTCTACCCACAGAAAGAAAAAAAGAAATAAACAATCGCAATCAAAAATAGGTTGAGGACAACTTTGTTAATTTCTGACCAAATAAATAAGTTCGGTTATTGCTTCCCAACAAATATAATCATGTACTCTGTTAGATGTTATCCTCCAATCAGATTTCTTGAAAGCTAGTTCTCAACCATTTCTTTCCTTCACAAAATAATTTCTTGTTTAACCTAAGTTTCATATTTAGTTACATTTGTTAAACCGTTATCGATATATGTCAATCAGAACATCTTTACACGTAATTTATACGATTAGACATTATAGCAATAGGAATTTTAATCATATGAAGAAAAAAAACAATTTTTTTAAAAAAATATATATATTACAAGATGCTAATTATGACAATTTTTCTACGAACGTGATATTTTTTTGTTGCTTATTAATTTTTTTATACGTGGTGAATAATAGTGATAGAGTAGGTTTAAAGACATAATCGGACTTCAAAATAATTGTTGTTTATTTGGAACATATACAAGTTACAAACTTGTGATATGAAAACAAAACAAACTAAATAAGCGACCAACCTACGTTTAGGTTCCAACCCACAAACAAAGAGAGAAACATATACTTCCCCTCTAAGCTTTCGATCATTTAGTTTCACCAAACTGACGAAGCACAAGAACCCAACATTTTGCATCTTTATAAACCAATGATCATGAATCCTTTTCAAATCACAAAAGAAAGAGACAAATCAATAGAGCCATCAAAAGAGGAAAAAGAAAGAGCTATACAACTAAAGACAAATAGCTAGGGGCAAAGCTAGCTAAAGAGAGAAATGGAGTTCCCAATTCGAATTTTGGTTCTTTTCGCATTGCTCGCCTTCCCGGCATGTGTCCACGGTGCAATACGCAAGTACACATTCAACGTAAGTTCATTTGTATCTATCAATGAATGTTATTCCCATCTCATCAAAAAAGAATCATGTAGGAGTTTTGATGTGAATTATTATCAAATAAGAGTACTAAAACGTAGCTATCTGAAACTACAGGTGGTAACGAAACAAGTAACGCGGCTTTGTTCCACGAAACAGATCGTTACTGTTAACGGTAAGTTTCCAGGACCAACAATCTACGCTAACGAAGACGACACGATTCTCGTTAACGTCGTTAACAACGTCAAGTATAACGTCTCTATCCACTGGTGAGATTTTTATTTTATTTTTTAAAAATTATATATATAACTTTCATCCCACAAAAGATTTCAAAACTCACCCAAATGGACCTAAAATATTGGTTTTCTAAACTCGGTTTTGTAAGGCATGGGATAAGACAATTACGAACCGGTTGGGCTGACGGACCAGCTTACATAACTCAATGTCCAATTAAACCGGGTCACAGCTACGTCTATAATTTCACGGTCACGGGGCAACGCGGCACGCTCTGGTGGCATGCACATGTTCTCTGGCTCCGAGCTACGGTTCATGGTGCCATCGTGATTCTACCTAAACCGGGTCTTCCTTACCCGTTCCCTAAACCACACAGAGAAGAAGTCATCATACTAGGTCTCTTTTTATCAATTACAAAAATCACATCATTATGATAAGCTTTACTCTTAATACACAAATCGGTTAACAATTTGAAATTCCCGGTTATATGTTTTTATAGGTGAGTGGTGGAAATCTGATACCGAAATGGTTATCAACGAAGCCTTAAGATCCGGTTTAGCACCAAATGTCTCAGATGCTCATGTCATTAACGGTCATCCCGGCCTCGTTCCTAATTGTCCTTCTCAAGGTATATATTAATAACATTCGATTTTGAATTATAAATTGACTATAATTCGGTTATGATCTAACATTATAATATCTTTTGTTTTGATGAAATTAGGTAACTTTAAATTAGCGGTGGAGAGTGGAAAAACATACATGCTTCGACTAATAAACGCAGCACTAAACGAAGAGCTCTTCTTCAAAATCGCCGGCCATCGTTTCACCGTCGTGGAAGTTGACGCCGCCTACGTTAAACCCTTCAACACCGACACGATCCTTATAGCTCCTGGTCAAACCACCACCGCGTTAGTCTCTGCTGCTCGTCCCTCCGGTCAATACCTAATCGCCGCCGCTCCTTTCCAAGATTCCGCCGTCGTTGCCGTCGACAACCGCACGGCAACCGCTACCGTTCATTACTCCGGCACGCTCTCTGCCACGCCCACCAAAACTACTTCGCCGCCGCCTCAAAACGCTACCTCAGTTGCAAACTCGTTCGTCAAATCTCTACGGAGTCTTAATTCAAACACGTATCCGGCTAAAGTTCCGGTCACCGTCGATCACGATCTGTTGTTTACCGTTGGGTTAGGAATCAACCGATGCCACAGCTGTAAAGCTGGAAACTTCTCACGTGTCGTCGCGGCTATAAACAACATAACATTCAAGATGCCTACGACAGCTTTGCTTCAAGCTCATTACTTCAACCAAACCGGAGTATACACAACAGATTTCCCCGGGAGACCGAGACGGGTTTTCGATTTCACCGGGAAACCGCCTTCGAATTTAGCAACCATGAAGGCTACGAAGCTTTACAAGCTTCCATACAATGCGACCGTACAAGTTGTTTTGCAAGATACAGGGAATGTGGCGCCGGAGAATCATCCTATACATCTTCATGGATTTAACTTCTTTGTGGTTGGTTTAGGATCAGGGAATTATAATTCCAAGAGGGACTCTAAAAAGTTTAATCTTGTTGATCCGGTGGAGAGGAACACCGTTGGTGTACCTTCCGGTGGTTGGGCGGCCATCAGATTCCGAGCAGATAATCCAGGTAATTTATCTACTTATCTAACATATATATATATAGTATCTAGAATTAATAATCTAATTGTTTCAGTTTGTGACAAATGTTATATGAAATAACATGTATATGTGTGGTGGTGGCACAGGGGTTTGGTTTATGCATTGCCATTTAGAGGTACACACAACATGGGGACTAAAGATGGCTTTCTTGGTGGATAATGGTAAAGGCCCAAACCAATCAATCCTTCCTCCTCCTAATGATCTTCCCAAATGTTGATAACTCTTTGTTATTATTATTTTTTTTGAATCGATCAAATTCTTTTCTTGACATTTTGATATGTGTAGTATGCTGAAAACAAAATTATCAATAAAGCCATTGTATGATTTGATTGTGTTACGCTTTAATGAGAGGGTGGAAACAAACATCTTTTTTCAACTCACCAACCTTTATTACCGTTGAAAATTTGAGGACTTTTGATTGATCCATCCTTTATCCTAAATTTTTACCACTTGTTTTTAATACATATGTGGTAGATCCAAAAAACAAATAATGTTCAAAACGCAAAACCATTCTAAAATAAACAAAAATTAAAGACAATACTGAACTTAATGATCCGCTAGTTGGTAATTAACACGTAACAATATAAAGTTTTAAACTTATGCAGAATAGCATCTATATATATAAAGTTAACTTTTTCTCTTTTCTCCTTAAGCCACATCATCATCCACCTCATTTTATTATTTAATTTTTAAAATTAATTATACTATTTTATCATTTAATTTTAATATTTAAACCTATGTAAATAAGTTTTTCCAAAATGAATATAAAAAGTCTTTTTTTATATTATACATTATAAAACTAAAAAATATAATTGATTAAGATTTAAAAAAACTTACTAATTATCGATTAACAAATATATAAATAATAGATTATAGTTTTTAGTGAATGTTTAAAATATATATGATTATATTTACACAATGTAAACCTAAATATAATGGGATTTAACGGGAATAAAACAAAAAGTAAGAAATTTTGAGAATATAAATCAATCTAATTTATGTCTCAAAAAAATTTCTAACATAAGTGACATAGGTCGTACCGAAACATGAATTCTTATTTTTTATACACATATAAAAAGGTAAAAATAAAAATAATATTTCTTTAAAAGTTTCCAATATGAATTTAACTATTTGTTTTCAATACAACACATATGTTAAACTAATAAACAAAATAAAAAATTAACTATATTTCATAAAATTGAAAATTAAAATAAAACATTATTAAATGAAATAAATTAAATATAAAGTAAATTATACTAATATGTTAAATTTAAAAATTGTTCCATATAAAAAACAAAAAAAATATATAAAACATAAAATCAGAAAAATATACAATAGTATATAAATGATCATTACGAGATATAAAGTACGACAAATCCAAAAAAAGGAAAACGTAAAACAAAAAATAATAAATTATGACAATATATAAAGAGATAATGTAAACAATTAAAAATACAACAATCCGCCCGAAACCCACAAATCATGTTCAAATTTCATGCCAACATATAAAAGGGCCTAAAATATTAATATCTAGATCTATATTTGGTAAAAACCCTAATAGCACACGTTTATCAATGATTCCCAACCGCACTTCCATTTACGCCCACACTTCGACTTATAATATACACTCTTAATTTCTCAACGACTAATGAAGCTAAAACTCAATAGTTTTTCTATATAAACACAATTTAAGTTTTAAAAAAGTAAAATATGGTATAGTGAAAAAAATAAGTAGGAAATAAAATACGAACCAATTACTCATAAACAACATAATAAACTTTCGCGCGTAGCGCGGGTAACCGACTAGTATATATATATCATCAACTGAAATTTAAATTACGTGTCTAGTCATGATACGATCAACTGAATAAAAACAAAGTAAAAAGGTTTTCTTATTTTTCTTTCCAAAAAGTCGTTATCAACGCAGAATTCACCTGTCGTGGAATTTGATTGAGTGGGTGCAATGTCGCCATTTCGAATTTTAAAGAGAGAAAGAGAAAAGACTCGTAAGAAAAACGAAGCAAGAGTAATAAATATGACAGGAAAAAAAAAGAAGTTATATACTAATAATAGAAAGGGAATCTTGCTAAATATAGAATCCAAGAAGAAGTCACTCTCTGTCGAACAGAAGCTTGTGGTCTGCTTACTGTGTTACGCTTCATCATCATGCATTGCATTTGCATCATTTGCATGTGAGTGACACACCTTCTATTTTGTGTTTGATTCCTTTCCTCCTCCTGTCCCTATCACATTTTTATCACCCATCCACCAATGACTCTGTTTGTGTATTAATTTTATAAATCTCCTTTGTAAATTTTGCAATTCGTAAATTTTAAAAGATATAAAAGATTCCTGTATTGTCGTCTCTGTAAGCTATAGTGATCCCTTCATACGAGTGTGTATTGCTAATAGTTATATATATTTGTAAGGTATTATATATTATCATATTCCGAAAGACAAATTTTCTTCAAATATTACAACAGTCTGGTTATAATGATTGGTTTGGTTGCACCGCTTTATACTTTTTTTTAATCAATTTCCTAAATTAACTATATAATTGGGCAGAAGTGGAGCTGTGGTACCGTCCACATGAGGTGGTGAGATATTAAACATATATTTCTTTTTTAAAACGTTTTTACGATATGAAAGCCCCCGACACATACATTCTTCGTATGATCTTTATAAGTAATACCACTACGTATATGAAAAATATCTTTGGTTGCTTTACTACCCACAGCTCTGTTCCTAAATTTTATTTATTTATAAGTTGTGTTCACCACCTAACCCATTTATACTAACGGTTCTATTGTTTATGTTCATTAAACAAATGAATAAAAGTAATAATATATTGGATAGTATACCTTCGAACTCCTCGTTTGATTCGCATCTTTTTAGTCGGTAAGGAATCTAAAATCGATAATGACAAAAAAAAAAAAAAAACTAGGAATCCATTGAGATAAATTAACCCAATTAAGTCAATCATAATTAGTTAATTATTGTGTATTGCTCATTTTAAATAATAACGGTAGAACAAAATCCATGTAGGCAATTTTTCTCAACTTCTTTTAGTCATGAAGATTGTAAATTTGTATTTATCAAATTTGTTCGGTTGAACAAAAACACTACTCATTACCATTTTATTACTTTTTATTTTTTCTAACACCATTATATACTTCTATCGTTCGTAAATTTTATATAAACTTATAAAGTACAAATACGCAATACATATATTTCAAAAAGGGAATATTCCACTAGTCTTTGTATATTTGTTTAGCTTATGGTTGTTGTTGTTACTATTACAGTATTATATAGTATGTGTACTAAAATTAAATATTGAATGGGATATTTCGTGTTGACAAAAAAAAAGGCTGTCAAGTTAAAAATTAGTATTTGATTTAAGATTAAACAAGGAATAAAAGAACCGGCCAAACCATTGAACAGTCGTTTTCTGATCTCTCACATTTGATTGGTTACGTTTACATCTTCTTTCTTTGTCAGTAAAATAAAATTAAATGTTACACTTTTCCCTTCATATATCGACACGTGCATATTGGTTAGTCTTAATCGCATATCAATTTTATATGATAATAACATAAATGATCAGCATAAAACAAAATACAATGCTCGTTATCGAATGGATAAGCCATATACGTTACTAAACGGATTTTTATCTGACCTAAGTTTATAAATTAAAAAAAAAAAAAAAAAAGCATATCAGAAGCATTTACCGAGAGGAGTTGTCATACATCTATTGGCCAGCTTAGATTGCAACTACAAATAACAAAACAAAAACAAAATTATTTTACATAGGCAAAACAAAACAAAAATAAATATCTCCGGTTATTAACTTTTTCCCTCCATGCTTTTTTGTGTCTTTGCTTTTTTTTTCTACACCTTTTCTTGTGGAATGTATTAGTATTCCTATTGATCATCACGTGAAATATAGAAAATAATATAAAGCAAAATCCACTTTTTTAATTTTTGTTAAAGGATTCAAACAAAAGAGATCCACTTTATGCTCTGTTTTATTTCCTTCATGTAATAATTTGATAATTTTCTCCACAAATTTTTCTGAAAAATAAAGTCGTTTCTTTCTTTTTTTTGTTTACTCGGTCACTCGAGACACCACCAACAACACACAGTCAATCAAAAAAAGCCATTAATTCTCTTATTCATCACTCTCCCTCCTCTCTCTCTCTTCAACTAAGAACAAAACAGAAGAGGAGCTATGTCTTCGTCGTCGACGATGAACAGAGGAGGAATCGATATGTTTTCACCGGCGAACACAAGCTGGATTTTTCAAGAAGCCACGTGGACAGTAGAAGAGAACAAGCGTTTCGAGAAAGCTCTTGCCTTTCTTGACGACAAAGACAATCCAGAGAGCTGGTTCAAGATCGCCGCTTTGATCCCAGGCAAAACCGTAGCTGACGTCATCCAGCGGTACAAGGAACTAGAGGACGACGTCAGCGACATCGAAGCCGGACTCATCCCCATTCCTGGCTACCGCGGTGACGCTTCCTCCGGTGCCAACTGTGACTATTTCTTTGGTCTCGAAAACTCCGGCGGTTACGGTTACGGTTACGGTTACGACTACGCCGTAGGAGGAAAGAGGAGTTTTAGGCCTCCGTTACCAGAAAAGGAGCGGAAGAAAGGAGTCCCCTGGACTGAGGACGAACACCGGTAAACCAACACTCTTATGTTCTGATCTCCTCCTTTACTAATTTATTTGACAACTTATTCTTCTTTTTGTGTTTCTTTCTTTTATTTATTTTACTTTTAAATGAAATTTACTAGGTATCACAATTTATCACTATTTCAGTTCAATGTTTTAAGGTGTCTTCTTGAAATTTTCTTTAAATTATGTGAAGTTAGTTATATATAATACTGCTTACCTTTTAATGTTTGGCAGACGATTTCTAATGGGTCTGAAGAAATATGGAAAAGGAGATTGGAGAAACATAGCTAAGAACTTTGTGACAACTAGAACGCCTACACAAGTGGCTTCGCATGCTCAAAAATATTTCCTTCGACAACTCACAGACTGTAAAGACAAAAGAAGGTCAAGCATCCACGATATCACCACTGTTAACATCCCTGACGCAGATGCAGCAACCACCGCTGCCACAGGAGTGCTCTCTCCTACCCCGACCACTTCTTCTTTTGACGTTTTCCACCAGCCAAATCCTCACCATAGTTTCGCGTTTGCGTCTGCCTCTAGCTACTATAATGCGTTTCCTCAGTGGAGTTAAATCAGCTTAGAAATGTTATTCTAGAGAGAGTACATTCGTCTCATCTAAACTTTTATATATATTGTCTACGTACATATTACCTATAAAAACAAAATGCAGGGATTGTTGTAAATAGTTGTAAGAAAATGTTTGTGTGGTTGTGCTGCGAGTTCCATATTATTAGGTTTGGTTGGTTGTAATTTTCGGTTTCACGAGTTTATAATACCAATATTTGACTTACATTACCTACGCATAATTTTTTTCTAGCCCTTTATAATAAGCATAATACACTACTACAGTATATTCTGTAATAATGATCACATAGTATTATTATAAATGTTATTATTACAGTTGACTTTAATGTCAATGCTTGGTGTGAGTCGCTTTTCTCCCCGACAACATAGGATTAGTTCGAATCAGCATCTTATTCAGTTTGTTGTTACTGTCCAAATTAAAATAAACTGGCGAAGTATCTGACTATATATTATATACTCTTTATTTGCTTGATGTTCTTCTTCCCATGACTTTGCTGATCGCTCAACACAGAAGAATTATATATTCCATTTTCGTGGTTCCATTTTACTGCCAATTATTTATCGAATAACTTTTGTTTGGATTTCTCCTTTTGGTATATATATACTACAATTATAAATGTTGAGGTATGTTAAAGCGATAAAGCTACGCGCGCACGCACACACGAGAACAAAGTGGGCTTTATATAAGTAAGCCCAAATAAGAAGAAGTAGTGAGTGCCCAGTTCTACTGTGGTCTTAATAAGAGCCCTTATTTGATTTGAAGAGTACTGGTGAGTGATTTTCACTGATCTATGGAGACTTGGTGTCTTCTAAAAATCTTTATAATATTCATGAATCAGCAAAAAACCAGTAAACTCCAGTATACGGTTTATACTACAAATCCAAATTATACACACAAAAAAAAAAGTTATAATCGTGGTGAAATTAACGCTTTAAAACTAGTAATAAATATTAAAACGAAAACAATATTATCGTATTATAACGTCATGAATCTAGTTTTCTTATCAGCGGCATTTAGAAGAAGAGGCCGAACGACATGTTTTGCATATTTATCAACTAAAGACTTCTCTATCGCCGTACCTAAAAAGCAGACAAAAGTAAAGTACACTTCCTTTTTATGTTTTTTCGACACAAAGAAGATGTACAGAACCCACGTAGAAAAGAATTCTATAATTTTATAAGATTTTATAATCTAAGCATGCACATTATGATACTTATCTTATATAGTATATCAATAGGCTAAATTAAATGTATATATATCAAATCAACTATAGGGGTTTATTTTATTTATTTATTGGTGAAAATGTAAATTACTATATAGTGTAATGTTACGCGCGCACACAACACAAAAAAAAAGTCATACGGATCCAACAAAAGAGGTTGTGGCCGCCTTTACTGTGTCAATTTGTTGTTATGGAGAGTCCCCGTGCACTTATCTCCAATATCATCATCAATTGTATATTGTTTAGCCTCTCTTATCTTTCTTTTATAATCTAATCGCAAAACCAAACAACAAAAAAAAAGTCTTGAATCTTTCCTGTTTCATAATCTTAAAATTCATGTTAAGAAAACGGTTACTATAAATTCTTGTGGATATGAAGTTTACAAACAAAAAAAAAAAAACATAGGAAACATGTAATGGGGTAGTGCTTGTAAATAAACCTACCAACAGGTATTTGTTGTCGGGATAAGGAAGGAAGAGACCGAGCAACAAAGAGGAAAGAAACAACACATTTTCTTTTCTTTTTTCCTTTTCTCAAACAATACATGTTCTTTTGTACCAACCAACTTGTGCTACCGGTTACTAAGGGTAGTTTCGTCATTGTATTATCAATCTCAATCAGGTATGACGTGGCTTCTACATCAGATTATTCCTTTTTTTTAGTTATAACCTCCGAACTAATTACACATTTAAATATTTTGTTTTGGTTGGAATTAAAACGTTTAATATTATTGTGTACCTGATTATGCTTTTAAATAATTTAGCATGCTTGTGCGGTGGACGTAGGTTAAGACTCGTAATCACAAACCCCCCGCTGATACAATTATGTCATTAATTATTACTAACAAAACATTTTGAATTACGCTAAGCTACTGTATTTTATTAAGAAACATATACAGAAATTTGAAAAAAAAAAATCTGAAAATTTTACATGGAAAAAAATAAAATAAAACGAAATTTATATAGCTATGACCTAAAAGTTTCATATTATTGGAGGAGAGATGTGGGGTTATTTAAGCAAAAAATTACAAGGTTGACATATTTACATGCTATATTATTCTAGATTTCTAGATGTTAATTAATTGGTTTGCGAGATATATATATATATATATATATATATATATATATATATATATATATATGTATATATAGGGATTAATTAATATATACACGTATGTACCATGTACTCAAATGAGTGGAAACTAGGGGTCACATATTCACATGCATGCATTATATATGGGTCATACAATGATTAGCATGACACTAAATAATTAAGCTGGTGTTAAATCGATTCTGATTAAATTAATGAAGAAATATAGATATATATATGCATTGCTCACTCCAAAATATCTAATTATAGTGGGAAGTTAAATATAAGTATAAATTCCTATACAACCAAATTGCCGGGTTGCTAAGTAAATTATAAAGATAGAGTGATGATCTATTTTTACATAAAAAGAAAATGAAATCTATTAAATTCGATTAATAATCTTTTCTTTTACGGCGCAGTAGTCATCGATCACTGCAAATATTATTCAGCTTAGGATATAATTTTGTAAATGTAAGTTTACATGTACAAGAAAAAAATCATTGTAAAAGTCGAATGAAAAGTGAAGCCGAATCTATATACCATTTGGTATTGTGGGAAAATCTAAATCTCTTTTAATTGTATATAAAAATTTATTAGAGAAAGTGAATTGAAATTTGTCACTAGTCCCTACCATAATAATATGGAAAAGAAAAATGAAATGGTCAAAGCACTAAGTTATTTGGTAGAGATGTTTATAAGATGCATTGAACATATGCTTCTTGTTAACACCAGTTGACTCTCTTTTTTCTTCCACCATTCAATTTGTCTTTTATAGTGTGTAAATAGTAGTGTAAGATTATCTAGTACATCGTATCTATTCATTTCTTGCAAAAGGTAAATAAATAAATATGAATAGTTTACAGTGTACACAGTTCACTTCCAAAAGATTAAGGGGGTGTTATTGGTTCTATAAGTTAAATTTAACTTCATTAGATTTTAAAATTCATAAGACTTTTAAAATATGGGTTCATTTAAACTGAATTATGATTCATTTTAACAAATCCGTGGAAGTGTATTTCTACAATGACAAATGATATCCTTTGTTTTGAACAATAGAATTGAATTCTATAACAAATGATTTTCACAATTTCAATGAAATTCTACCAAACTTTTTATTATCACATTTTTTTTCTCATTTTCTGTTTTGAAGTTCTAGCATATTTTTTTAAGGTGAAAATTAATTAGTATAAAAACAAAGTGACGAAAATGAATCTCACAGCAACCAGATTCATTTTGGGTGGAAAATGAGGAACGTAGTGTGTATATTTGTTTTAACGGACACACTACTACGTAAAAGAAAATGAGGAAGAGAGAAAAATGTTGGGTGGATGAGTTATGTGTATTACGTTGAGTGATAGGGTGAAACTTTTGTTTATTTGATTGTGAAATCTCATGTAGAAGGTTGGTTTTTGGATTGACATAATTTACATATGAAATCAGTTTCCTGTTCATTTTAAATCCTTTCAAATGATATCATTTGTGAAAATCCACCAAACTTGAATACCATAAGACTTTGATTAATAATTATAAGTATAAGAACCAATAACACTTGATTTAAAACTCTTTTGATAAAGACAATATAAATATGAGAACCAATAACACTTGATTTTAAACTCTTTTAATGAAGATTCTATAATTATAAGAACCAATAACACTTGATTTAAGTAAAAGATTTAAAATCATTTATTAAAGGGTTGCCACGTTATTACAACCTGTACTTATTCCCTTCTCAACATTTCAACCTGTACTTTTTACCTCTTTATAAAACAACACAAACTTTATTTCTTCTGCATAAATCAACCTATACTTTTAAAACCATCTAAAACAGTGCCTATCCAATTGAGACAGATAATCACAATTACTAAACCCGATTAAACCATTAATCGCGATTACTAACATCGCGTTTCACTCCAATATATGTCTCGAGACGATAACCACGTAGCTTTGGGAGAAAAAGAGAGGCAACGTGGGGATTTAGGTTTCTTGATACATCAATTATCTCAATATAACACAGGTTCTCTCTCTGCATTTTTGCCGTGATCAAGTAGCGACAAAGCTTGTCTTGCTGCTCAAGAGTGTACAAGGCAATCTTGGGATTTTACAGAGAGGGACAAAGAGGTTTATTTAAAAGCTGTGTTCGATTCAGAGATTAAGACAAAGTGCAAGTCACTTTTGAGTGTAGAGAGAGTAAGAGAGAAAGTTCTGGGTTTTGGGGAGAGTTCTTCATTATCTTATTTTCTTCTCTTAAGGTGATCTCTTTGTGTGGGTGAGTGATTCTGAAGTTGTAATATGTTCTTTGTTCATAGTGAAGCCTCTAGTGAGCGGTCAAGCTCACCGAGACGTACCTTGGCTGGTCTAAGACTTGGGAAATCGTAACTCTCGTGTCTTGTTTCTTTACTTGTTTACAAACCTGCAAAACAACAAAAACACAAGCTTTGATCAAATACAGACCAAGTATGAGCATATTAGATAGGCATAGACTCATAAACCTGCAAATGTGTATACAATAAAATTCGTATACAAACCTGAAAATGTGTTTACTTGTTTACAAACCTGCAAATGTGTATACATTAAAATTTCTAGAAATTAATATTAGATAGGCATAGACTCATAAACAAAACAAAATAATTATTATATTGTGAGTTCACTTGTACACAACTAGTGTTGTTGCGTAATGTTATGATCCTCAATGTATCGTGGTTTTTTTTATGAAACTTGTTTCGTTTCACAAACTGGTTTGTCAACTAGTAAAATAAAATCAATCAGAAGTTGGACTTAAATGATGCCATCCAAATCAAGTAACATTGAACATCCAATTGGTCATAAACATCAATCCAAATTGAGAACTAAACATAAATTCGCAACACATGCCTAGAACATGAAAAAAATCAGCAAAACAACCAGTACTAAACCCAAACAAAAACCTGCAACATTACTCCTTATTCAAACAAAAAACCTGCAACTATTAAAAAAAAAGAAGTGAAACTGCACACAACTCCTAGATATTGATTTCTTGTGTGAAGATATTGCTTTCTTGTGTGAGAGTGTTTGGTCCATTTGAGAGTGTGAGTGTCTCTGCTGCTTGTACAGTAGTAGATGGACCAGCCTCAACAAATTTTGTGCTATTCTTA